AGATCGACATATTGAAGAGGCATCGCCGAGGAAAACAATGGAGCCGCCCCCCGCCTGAGCTGACACACCAACCGGTGAAATCATCGGATACAGCCAAGAAGCAGATGGGGTGTTTCAAGTGCGGAAGAGAAGGGCATCGAGCTGTAGAATGCCGCTCAAAGGCCCCCCAGCACAACCCAGACAGATCCCCAATCAACAAACCCAGAGGGTATTCAGCTAAGCCAAAAGAAACAGCCATGAAAATTATGGAAATTGCAGAAAACCCCACCTCTGCTCACCAAGGGGAAAGAACTCCAGCCTACACCACAGGGACGGTGGATGCCTCAGATGACAGCTCGGAAGGCGAACCCCTGGTAAGTGGACGCATCACACCCATCTTCAAAACAGTGACTATATTAATCCCCCCCATGCCCGAAGCTGTGAAGGTGAAAGCCTTAATAGACTCTGGCTGCACCCGCTGCCTCATTAGCCCAACACTAGTGGGGAATCTGGGCATCCCATCCAGGAGACTGGAACAACCAATCTCATTTGGCCAGCTAGATGGATCCATAGCAGGGGGGTGCCAGCTACCCTAGCCACTCTGCCAATACACCTCTCCCTGGGCAACCATGAAGAGGACTTAACGTTTGTGGTGACCCCAGGTATGGAATGCCCAATGATTCTAGGGATGGAATGGTTGAAAAAATGGAACCCCTGGGTAAATTGGAGGACGACAGAAATCAAATTCCCGAAGGGGGACCCTATGGACTTAAAACCCCAAGGGAGGCTACCAGAATCAAGAATAGAAAAAGCATCCATAGGAGAGGAAAAAAGATTAACAGAAATACCAGAGGAATATAGGGACCTTGCTGAAGTCTTCAGTGAGGAGAGGGCGAATGAGCTTCCCCCCCACCGACCCACAGACTGTACCATTGAATTCAAGCCTGGGGCAAAACTCCCGAAGCCCAGATTATACTCCATGAGCCCAAAGGAGAAGGAGGAAATGGAAAGATTTATAAAAAAAAACCTGGAGAGAGGTTTCATTGAACCAGCTAAGCCTAAAGTGGCTGCCCCGGTCCTTTTTAGAGAGAAGAAGGATGGCTCTTTACGTTTATGCGTGGATTATAGGGCCCTGAACACAATCAGTGAAAGCAACCTATACCCGCTGCCCCTCATGAAAGACATGCTGTCACACCTATCGAAAGGGAAAATTTTTTCTAAACTAGACTTAAGGGAAGCTTACTATCGCGTGAGAATCAAGGAAGGGGACGAATGGAAGACTGCATTTAACTGCCCCATGGGGTGCTATCAATTCAAAGTCTTGCCATTTGGATTACAAGGGGGCCCTGCAGTCTTTATGCAATTAATCAATGACGTTCTAAGGGAGCACCTGTTTAAGGGGGTCCTTGTTTACTTGGACGACATTCTTATCTTTACCGAAACAAAAGAAGAACACGTCAAACTTGTCAGAGCGGTTTTAAAGAAGCTGCGAGCCGCTCACCTATATGCCAAACTCTCAAAATGCGAATTCCACCAGGAAAGGATAGACTACCTAGGCTATCGCATATCCCCACAGGGCATTGAAATGGACCCAGAGAAGGTCAGAGCAGTATTAGAATGGGCACCACCCCGCACAAGAAAGCAACTACAAAGTTTCCTGGGCTTTGCAAATTTTTACCGCCAATTCATCCCCTCATTTGCACAGATAGCCTTGCCCCTCACCAACTTACTAAAAACGAAGGGAACATCCTCAGTAAAACCTAGCCAGCCACTAACATGGACAATGGAGTGCCAAGCAGCGTTTGAGAGACTAAAGAGACTTTTTTCTGCCGAACCAGTACTAAGGCACCCAGACATGGACAAGCCCTTCATAATACAGGCAGATGCAAGTGATGTGGCAGTGGGGGCTGTGCTATTACAAGAAAATGATGATGCAGTATTGCAACCCTGTGCATATACATCCAAGAAACTCACGGAAACAGAACAGCGCTGGCCCGTATGGGAGAAGGAGGCTTATGGGATACGTTGGGCATTACTCACATGGCGACAGTTCCTGGAAGGCAACAAAATCCCCTTCCAGGTGTGGACTGATCACAAAAATTTGGAAGCCCTGAAAACTTCCAGGAAACTCAATCCCAAACAAGCCCGCTGGTCCCAGCATTTTCACCAATTCCAATTTAAGCTCAAACATTTACCAGGAAGAAAGAACTTCCTGGCAGATGCACTATCTCGCATGCCCCAATATAACAGCGCACGAACCACAGACTCTAGACCAATAATGGCAGAGTCACAACTGGCAGCACCAGTAACCACAAGAACCCAAGCCAAATTAAAACCACAACTGGACAGCCAAACTGGAATTGAATTCAGAAAAAGTTTGGAAACAGATGATTGGTTCCAGAAAAACAAAAATGTGTGCACAATGAAAGACGGGTTGCCTTGGATAGGGGAAAAGTTATATATACCAACAACTCAAAGAGTAACTTTCATGCACCTTTGCCATGACACAAAATCAGCAGGGCATTTTGGATTTGTAAAAACTTTACATTTAATTAAACGGCAATTTTGGTGGCCATCCATGAAAAAGGACATTGAAAGTTATATAGCCAGTTGTCCAAAATGTGCCACGGCAAAGAGGTTGCAAGGGAAAGTGCCAGGACTATTGCAAACAGTGGCAAGTCCCTCAGCCCCCTGGAGAGAAATAGCCATGGATTTTATAGTGGAATTGCCAGAAAGCAATGGGAATACTGTGGTCTGGACGGTCACGGACTTGTTTTCCAAACAGGTGCACTTTATCCCTTGCCAAAAGATTCCCACTGCAAAAGCCTTAGCAAAACTTTTCATCCAACACATTTACAGATTGCATGGGGCACCCCAACGCATCATCTCTGACAGGGGGGTGCAATTTACGTCTGCATTTTGGAAGGAATTTTTATCCCTCTTAGGAACCACTCAGGGACTGACATCTAGCCACCACCCTCAAGGAAATGGGGGGGCTGAAAAAATGAACTCAGTACTTAAGCAATATTTAAGATGTTTTCTTAGTTTCCAGCAGACCGAGTGGGCGGACTTACTCCCCTTTGCAGAAGTTGCCTACAATAATGCAGTCCACTCCAGCACAGGTTACACTCCTTTTCAAATAGCCACCGGTCAAAGTTTCAACCCCATGCCAGAATTAACCCCAAACGAACCAACGATCCCCTCGCTGAAAGAATGGATGGAAAAATTACAAAACACCTGGCCAATAGTCAGAAAAGCACTAGATGAAGCTAGGCAGGCTTACAAAACACAAGCCGATAAAAAAAGGGTTGAGCCTACACCATTCATTATAGGAGAAATGGTGTACTTATCTACAAAATACCTAAAGTCCCTACAGCCCTGTAAAAAACTTGGACCAAAATATATAGGACCTTTTCCAATTAAAAGAATCATAAATCCAGTAACAGTAGAATTAGAATTACCCAAAAATCTCAGGCAAATACACCCAATTTTTCATTGCAGCTTGCTGAAAAGAGAGCATCAGTCACCTCTACGGCCAAAAATCCCCCCACCACCACCTCCAATCATGGTGGAGGGTGAACAACACTTCGAAATAAAGGAAGTCCTTGACTCTAGGAGATATCATGGAGCAACTCAGTACCTAGTTGCCTGGAAACACCTCCCTCCCTCACAAAATGAGTGGGTCCATAAACGTCATGTCAGAGCCCCGAAGCTATTGAAGAAGTTTCACACAGAGTATCCTAACAAGCCTAACTAATTTTTTTACTTGCGTTTTCTTTCAGGTGGATCTCTCTTATTGTTAAGAGGGGCCGGATGTCAGAATCCAATTATATTTCATCTTTAAATTATCAAATATAGAAACTCCCAATTCTGCCTTCTCTGGATTCTGCCATAAGAGGGAGAGAAGGGGGAGAGCAAAGGGGCTTTATGGCCCTCACTTCCTTCTTTACATTTCAAAGAGCTGAATGCTGAATGTGTGTTTATTGTGACCTCTAAGCGTTAACATATCAAAGAAGGGTAATTGCCTTTCATGTAGTATCTGAAGTCTCAAAGCGTTAACACCAGAGAACATTAGCATTAACAAAGAAGAGTTAAAGAGTGGGGTGTTACTAATTTAACAACTTGCAATGATTCACTTAATAAGTGTAGCAAGAAAGGTCGTAAAATGGGAGAAAACTCACTGAACAAGTTTCTCACTTAGCAACATAAATTCTGGGCTCAATTATGGTCATAAGTTGAGGATTACCTGTATATATAACTAACACACATCTTAAATATAATTAAAGTAGTCAGCAAAGTACCTATAACAAATAGTCATTCTCTAAATGATTGTTTCTGGACTTCCTCAACCATAACCAAAACTTTATTAACAGAGAAGACGCGATAAAAGAGAAGTAAAGGTTACTCAATTATGGTTTTGCTAGTTACATAAAGGGTCATGAAGTTATAATTTGGATTCTTATCCTATTACCCTAGGGCAGGCTATCATCTGTTCTACTGAAAACAGGCTTTAGACAGTTCTATTTCTATTGGTGTAAGAATTAGAAACTTGATTATTACATATTTCTGCTGCAAAAAGGAAGGAAGGAAGGAAGGAAGGAAGGAAGGAAGGAAGGAAGGAAGGAGAGAGAGAGAGAGAGAGAGAGAGAGAGAGAGAGAGAGAGAGAGAGAGAGAGAGAGAGAGAGAGAGAGAAATCCTGAACTTTGCAATAATGGGCCATTCTTAGTCATTGGTGTATAACATATGTTCCTTAAGTTTTGTGTTGTTTTTTATGCAGCTTTTAGAAGCTGCATGTTTTAAACTCCTGCTGATCAGCTTGTGTTGCTTTGTGGATGTAAGGCTAGAAAAACCTGCTTCCCACACCCTCAAGGCGTGAAAGCTGAGACTCCAAGGATATGGAATCCAATGTCCTGCACCAATTTTTCTATGCAAAGCAAAACAAGGCTTAATTGGGGAGGGTACTGTAAAGTGAGAAAAGGGTGCTTTTGGGACTCTAGGGAACAGATACCAAGATACTTACTACGTATAGTTCCAGGGCCTGACTTTGCTTCTCCCCCAGGACCAAAGTCCACAGTTGGCGAGCAAATGTTGTGCCAAAGATCAACGTCAGAAGAAGAAAAATAGGCAACAGGCAACCCACCATACCCAGAAGTATCCCACGGAAGAAAGCACGGAAGTTGTTGTTTCTGGCCTTGCTGGGTAACAGAAAAAATGAAAAAGCAAGGACAGCATATAGGATTCGGGAAGAAATTTAGTTCAATAGCATTAAATCCTGTATTGCCCCCAAAACAGCCTACTATCTTCAGTTTCCTAGGATTTTTTTCTCTAAGTATAATCTTCTCATTCCTTTTAAAGTGAAAGTCAGCAGCCAGAACCTTACAGTCCCAATTACATTTGAAATAACTGAATGTATAACCAGCCTTCCTTTAAAGGAGTCTAGATTATTAGTCTGCTTTACAATTCAAGGCACTTATAATGCTCCATTTTTGTGGGATTTATTTCCAAGTAAATGTGCACAAGACTTGTACTGTAAATTACACAACAGTCCTTTGAGATAGGTCAAGCAAGCAGCTTAAAAGCATGCTTCCAGTACATTTTCTACTCACTTTCTAATCACTCCCCCCCCCACTGCAATCTTTTATTTATCTCTCAACAGCTGTCAACTCAGAATCTGCCACTTAGTTATCTCAATTTATTTTATTTTTATTATTTATTTATTAAATTTATTTGCCACCCCTCTCTTCACAAGGTGATTGAATTTGGCATCTGACGATACAAATCCACACTCCCGGTTTTCTACCCGGGATCTGATATCCAGCACATATTTTGTTGTAAATGGTAGAACCTCTCAGATGTTAAGTCTCCCACTCCCACAATGCTCTGTTCTTACTTGTCATCTTCTAGCAAACGCTGTGTGGCCTCTTCAATGAGCCGGCAATCCCTTTCCAGGGCATTGAGTGTATGCTGCACAGTCTGGCTGATGGTCTTCTCAATTGTGCGACAGACTTCCTCGATCTGATTAACGCACCGACTCGGCTGAGGGTGAGCACATAAACCCATATCACCATTTGGCAGAGAATCTATCATCATTCTATTTTCAGTCCCAATTTCTTCCATATCCACATAGGGCACTGACCATCAAGCTTTTCTCTTCCATCTGTCCTAAGGCTCACCCATCCTTCCAGAAGCCTGGATTCCTCATGGCTTCTACTTCAATCTTACATCTAAAATAACTCCAAGTTTGTCACTCACCTTATTGAGGTTGGGAATGTAAATTGTAGGCATGTCAAACCCACATTTATTGAGGCCAGGACGTTTACAAAGTTCTTGAACAATCTGCATCAGCACCCTCTGTAAGACAAAAAGAGAAAAAAAAATCACGCGCACACGATTTTACAAACTGCCATTCTTAATTCCTTCTGTTCCATGAGAGAGCCATTCCCCATCCCAATCTGTGCCCATTATCCATGGGAGACTTTCTACCTGTCGATCACCCTCAGCGCCTGCCTCATCGGCTTTGCTCAGATAAAAGCGTAACTTGTCTCCATGCTCTTCATTGATCTTCTCCACTATGTTTAAGGTGCGTTTGCAAAGAGCCTGCCCCATGGGATCAAAGAAGACCAGGATGAGATCGCAGAGTTGGCCTGAACAAGATTATAAGGGAAGGAGTTAGGTTGCTGCATACATAGGGAGAAAATTTCCTACAGAAAGAATACATCAGTAGATAATTTCTTTCAAGTTAAGGGCTACTACAATAGAAAATGCCCTAGGCTAAAATCTGTTCTCCCATCACCATGCCGGCATTTTCTTCCAAAACCCAAAATAGCTCTCTTGCATATTTTTCTTAAGACAGAAGCCGTTCCTGGGTTACCTATATTAACCCATCTTCTGATTCAATTTTTCTTGGGCACATCTATTCTATTTTAAGGGCTAGATTGACTTGGAAGATGTGTTTTCCCGACTTTCTGAGGCCATGCTCCAATTTAACAGAATCCCTGTTCAGGCACCAAGGCTATTTCTTGAAGATATACTCACCAAACCAGATCAGTGCTCCTTCCACATCAAAAGGGTATTTCATATCGCCATCTACTAAGCCTGGAGTATCAAGAAAAGTGATAAGAGGAAATTGTTTCTGCTTGGAGGTACAAATCTCAGTACTCAGGTATTCTGGCACCCCTAAATAAAGATAAAGAGCAGAATGTGTTAAAATTTACTAGTAGCTTCTTGCCATTAACAGATAACAAATACCATGTTCTCCTAATAATCCTAAAACCAGACACCATACTTCAAATTTCATTACCAATATGAATTATTACAGGCAAACTGTCAATGATCAATTACCCCAACTTTTAAATATCAGCTTCCTGATCAAAGGCAATACTCATCCAGGCCAGTTTTGAATTAAGAGCCAACCCTTGATTTATCTTCAGCTGCAACTAACCTTTGAAGTTCTGCAAGATCTGGAAATGAGGGTAGAGGTGGAGTGTAGCATTGCCCTGCAGGAAAGGAGTGAAAGAATAGAAGGCTTTAGAATACATGATATCAGTATGGCTGTAGCACATGGATGTCAAACTTGCGATGTCACGTGACATGTTGCGACGTATCACAACTTTTCTCCCATTGCCAGCAATGGGGTGGGTGAGGCAATTTGACACCCCTGTTTGAAGCAATGTTTGGAAATCCAAACATCTGACTAACCCTAGGACCTAAGTCACAAGCTTGCTCTAAATCACCAGCAAACTCATTGCATAGTCTAGGTAGTGGGAAATCTGTGGCCTAACTTCCACATTCTTCATCATTGTGATTAAGACTGATAGAATTATAGCTCCCCAACCAAATCTGCACTACCTGTGCACAGGAAGAAAACATCAGCAGATTGGGAGAAACCTAAACCTGTTAAGTGAGAGGAAAATGAAGAGGGTGGGGAGAGGAACTTTTAAATATCTTTATATAAGCCTATTCAACGGATATATGCTGATTGGCTGCTGATAGGAAAACAAAACAAAGCAAAACAAAACTGGAGGAGAGGAAGAATTGACTGCCTGGAAGGAAGGGCAGTGGCTATTCAAGAAGGGCAAGTCTTACTGGTTAAATAGCAGTAGCCATTACAGTGAAACATACAAAGTGATATTAAAAATGAGTGTCTCTGTAATCTCACCGTGAGAGATTCTCGCTTTTTTCCACTAGTGATGAAAGTGAAACCCTGAGTCTCAATAGCAACCCCAGTACGTTGGATGTGTTCCTCCACATACCTGCACAAAAATGTCAAGAAAACCAAGACAGAATTTTTCTCTTCTTTATGGGCAAATTATGACTAAATCTGAACTGAAGATGGGAAGTGTAGTGTTACAACACATTCATACCCAATTTCCTGAAATGTCCTGGGTTGTTAAATTGCTACAAGTGTCTCAACACCCATTTGTTCTTCCATTACATCAGCATCATTTGTGTCAATGACACAATAAATTAGGCATCTCTGGATTACAATCCCTTTCCATGTTTTAAAACTAGTCAGTAAAAATAGGAACTTTTACTGAAACCCAGTTCATATTCAGTATAATCAACAAACTGTATTCATTTTGTTTATGCACCTTTTCCCAGTAGCCGTTAATCATTTCTTTTGACATAAAACTGGGCAAAAATACGAGAGGATTTTTTTTCCTCAGAGGAACTGTTTAGAGGTTCAGCTCCTCATGCTGACATCTTGAATAGAAGTCTTTCCCTAGTAAACACTGATGTTAACATGTCTTTCCCTTTATTAAACACTGATGTTAACAAATAAATGATAACTTCACCATTTTTTTACCAGACATTATAGTTAAAGTAAATTAGAAACAATTATTGCAAAACCTGAACTCTCCCAAACCCCATAACCTACAGGTTGCCTGCAATTTCTTGTACAGGTAGTCCTTGATTTACAACAGTTCAATTAGTGATCATTCAAAGTGATAGAAATAAAGGAAAGGTCTTCAAAATTTAATATTGAAAAGAGAAATTTAAAATTTAATTTGTCGCAGTGGAAACTTATTGCCTGGACAAACAAGCTTACCAAAAACTATAATGGCTGGGAAACAGGAAAGGATAGGATAAAGGCAGGATGTAAGATAAATACATAGGCAAAAATTAGCTGGGTCTTAGAGTGGGAAAAGGAAGAAGACAAACTATAAAAAACAGCTATAAAAGGAAATGGCTAGCCAGGAAAGGCATATTGAATTGAAAAACAGGAAAACAAGCTGAATAAGATAAGAGGAAAGGCATACTGAATTGAAAAACAGGAAAGAACCAATTGTTCTAAAAGGGGGACATAAATATCCACAGAGTTCAAAATAACCATTTAAATGTCTAATTTTTCTTTTTCTTACTGTATATGTGAATATGATTTAATATATTAACAGGAAATGTGTAAGAAGCGGACGATATGAGTGTAACCTCATAGTACCTCAGCCAATGGGAAAGAGGAGAGATGTGGCAGCCGGGACAGGGCTGTATAAAAAAGGGAATATTTTGGATTGGAACTTTGGAGAGAACCAAGCTTTGATAGCTTCTCTCCCTGCTTATTGCAATAAACGAAACAAAAGGCCTTCACTGTGTCTTGGCTGGTTATTGGTCAGTTGAGCTTGCCTCTGGTCATGAAGGAAAGTGGCCAGGAGCATGTTAACAAAAGTTACAATGACCGTTGCAGCATCCCCATGGTCACACAATCAAAATTCAGATGCTTGGCAACTGACTCATATTTATGATTGTTGCACTATCCTGGGGTAATGTGATCCTCTTTTGTGAACTTCTGACAAGCAAAGTCAATGGGGAAACCAGATTCATTTAATAACAGTGTCCCTAACAACTGCCACAACGGTGGCAAGAAAGGTCGTAAAATGGGGCAAAATTCTTTTAACAAATGTCTCACTTAACAACATATATTTGGGGCAAAATTGTGGTCTTAAGTCAAGGATTACATGTACTATGGATAACTTCCTAGGATTTCCCCAGAATGCCTTGTGCCATACCACCCTCTCCGTTAAGATTTACACAGAATGCCCTGCACTCACACCAACACCCCTTGGTTCTGTATCCTAATGATGCCATTCCCAGTTTTGACTTCCCTTGATTAATTTTCTGGCAGTCCCCTTCAGCTCACCAGTTGATAAAGCTGCTCTTCCCAGCACTGTGGTTGCCCATCACCATGACAGTCACTCTGCGGCGAGGGGGAAGCAGGGTCAGGCCCAGGCGCTCTCCTATGGTCACCAAACCTGGGAGCAGAACGGGAAAATTATGGCTGACACTTAGCATGTTATTTCACCCCTAAAGAGAAAGCGCCTCCCCCTCCTATCCCCTCAACTCTCACCATGACCCGAGTGCACATAAAGCGAGTGGGCCTCCCGGAGGACTCGTTCTGTCACCGACTCCGTCCCACCCCCGACGGCGGGGTTGGCGGCTTCCCGGGGCTTCCCACCCCGGCTCCCTGGCATAGTTTCTGGCGGCCAAACCGGCAACGGAAGCAGCAAAGGCGACTGGGGAAGAGGGAGGGAAAGAACTACAACTCCCGAAAGGCATTTCGCGGAAAGGACAGCGGGGTGTGGTCGCACAAACGTGCTTTTCGATCGACGTCTATCGGCACTACATCGCAGAACTACAACTCCCGTGAAACCTCGTAGCCACAAAACACATTCCCGTCAGGATCTTAGGGGATTACGTGACAATAGATCTCTGTAGAAATTTGCGGTTCCCGATCATACAGCGCTTATTCTTGGACGCTTAGCGCGAATAAATGACGCTTTGTGGAAAAACAAAGTCGTCCGGGCCAGTGCATTTAAATTGGTCCTCGCCCTCCTATTCTTCCTGGGTTTTTTTGTCTTTAGAAGTCATCAGAATCGTTTGAATGCAGGTAGTTGTAATTGTTAGAGTATTATTTTTTGGAGGGCAAACAATTGCAGTTTTCATATTTTCATCTAAAGATAGACAGGTTGGTGGTTAAGGCACTAGACAAAAGTCAGGAGACTGGGAGTTCTAGTCTGCCTTAGACACAAAGCTAGCTGGATGATCTTGGGCTAATCACTCTTTCTCTGGGATGAAGGCAATGACAAAACTCTTCAAATATCTTGTCAAAAAACTAGTCCAGACAGTCGTCAGGAGCCAAAACTCACTCAGGGAACCAAAAAAGAAAGAAAACCTTGGTTCTCTTGAAAACAACTTCTCTGACTTGATGCCTTCTAAATATGGTGGAATATATAAGATTTGGATTGGGGGAAAGGAAAGAACTATATTAGTGTGTGCCAACAAAAGAGAACTGGTATAAAATCTATAAATAAGACTGATAAATTGTAGCCTTGATTCTTTGACCATAGCACTAGCTTAAACAAATGCTTTGTCCTCACAGGCCAAATCCTAGGAATTCAGGCCAGTGTCATAAAATGTTTTATAAAATTTGCCAAATTTCCACGGGAATCATGGATCTCTGATTTAGAATGCATTCTGTAAATTATTCTGTCCAAACAACTGGCCACACTGGCACACAAGATACTTATGAGCTATAGAGAATAGGACACGCAAATCCTGCCGACGATGTTACCTAGTTTGGTAACGAAATGTTCAGGAATTATATTAAAACAAGCTTGGAGAACAAACCACAGCCAAAATCTAAAACCCAAGCTACAAATATTTCCCATTGCAGTTCCATAAATGTACAACAGGGCTGTTATATCAAGAAGCCAAGATGGTGTGAAGGTACATCTAAATGAATGAATGAATAATAAAGATTAATAAAAATTCTTAGATACAGAAACCTAGGCCCTTTATCTAATCTCAGATCTAATCCCAGGCTTTCCCTTTAAATGTTTTATTTGAACTTGAGGTTGTCCTCGAAATATAATCAGTAGCTTAACAATTGTTTGAAGTTACAGTGCAAACATTGCCATTCTGAAGCCTTTTTTAAAAACACTTCAGAGGTTTCAAATCTCCTTCCTTATGCTATTAAACTAAATTAATTGGGCCAAAGTCTTCAGGCCAGTCTTAAAGGGCCTTTTGGCTTTTCAAATCCTTTTTAACAATGGGAAAAGAAATGTACAAAAGGGAAAATGTCTCACTGAAGACAAAAACGATCTAGGATCAAATATCAGAGTAATAAAGTAGCAAAGTAATACCAATGGATACTTACAATACTTTCCTCTGCACCATCTGATGTTCAGTATTTAACATTCTTTTGGTTAAAAAGCTATTATAGAGGAAGCAAAGTATTAACCTCTGGTATTTTATGTACAAAATTAGCTCTCATATAATACCATAGCATTTAAAAAAAAATAAACTTGACAAATAGATACAGCCCAGAATTGTGAGCCTAGCTTCTTACAAAAAAAGAAAAAAGAACGTTTCAGCTATTGCAGGATAGAAATGATGTCAAAAAACAGCAGCACCACAGTGTCTTCTGAAGACACTGATGCTGATGAAGTGTGAGCCCTTGTTCATCTGGACTCAGTGAAAAGACAAGGCACATACTTCTGTACAGAAAAGTGCGAAAGAGGTACATACTTTGGAGAGAGGATTTTAAGCCCTTCCTCTTTTTGCCTTCTTTTATTCTACCCTTCCATGAATTGGCATTTTTTTCTTTATACAGCACGTCCTTTTCATTCTGGGCATCCAGTTAAGAGGAAGCAGTTGACAAATACATGGATCTTATGGGATGCAAGACTTTTACTGTTGGAATGCAGTGAATATTCTGCTTTTCTGCTGAGAAGAAGCGCCAAGCAAAAATAAGGGTCATAAGTAGAGATGTCCAGTTCTTAACTCCTAAGAGGTCCTTAATTAATTAATTAATTAATTTCTATGCCATGTAGTCCTCTCTGTAGGAGCCGATCAGACTCTGACTGTAGATAATTTTGATGTTTCCCCTTACAGGGGAAGAGGGGAGGGAGGCAAGGCACAGCATCAGGAACAGGAGATAGCCAGATGTCTTTTTCCATTATGAGGGTATCTCCTGTTTTCTTTCCTCAGATTTAGAATACAAGGTAATTGTCTGTAGGGAAAGAGATGGAAAGAAAAAAGACCCTTAGCAGTCAGGAGAGATCAGCAAGCAAAGATGCACAGCTTAAAACCAGTCAGGAGTTGGCTATCACTTGCAGATGTGATTAAAAGACATAAGCTTTTGTGAGCTACAGCTCACTTCATCAGATGCACTGATAGAATGTCTACTAACCTGAATTTCATGAAGCTTTTCTTGGCATGATATGCATTTTTTTTACAAATGAAATCCATTCAGGATTTCAGATCAATATCATATTCAGATCAAATGTGTGTCCTCAACTTACAGTCATTCATTTAGTGACCATTCAAAGTTATGTTGATGCTGAAAAAATCCAGTCCTTCCACTTATGCCCTCTCCTTGCACTTATGACTGGTACTTGCACTTCGGGCTATCACACCAGCCCCATGGTCATGTGATTGCAATTTGGGTGCTTGGCAACCATCTTGCATTTACAACTGGTTGCAGTGTCTTGAAGTTGCAATTTGTGTCCAAATGCCCATTCAGAAGACTAGGTTTACACTTACAACCACAGTGTTGGCTTAATAAGCGTGGATTCATTTAATGAGCATTGTAATAATGGCCATAAAATCAGATCCAACTTGATTTACAATTACAATGACTTACAATAGAAAGTCAAATCCCAATTGTGGTTACATGTTGAGGACTGTACCACTATTTGAACATAATTTGGCTTCCTTTGTGACATAATCTGTAGCTATGTATTTTATTTTATGCATTTAAGTATGTTTTTCTGAGAAAGGGTCTGTAGGTTTCACCAGACTCCCAAAGGACCCCATGGCATAAAAAGATTAAGAACTCTAACAAATGTAGACTCACATTCCTCAATATGGGGCACCCCAAATATTTTGGAATAGCAATACATTCAGAGAGTATCAGATGGGGAAAGGTACAGTGTAAATGATCCATCTTATTGATCCTAAGTTTGCAAGCTTGTAAGTTAAACCTCACTGCTCAGCTTATGTGGTTGGTATTTTTTTCTACAATCTAAACAGGGATAATAGAAGTACCGTAGCAGCAAAATTGAAATAAATTCATTTCCATTTACTTGTTAATGCCAAGATCATTAAAAGAAAAGGCATACACATAGTTTGGTTTGCTCTTGCTTTCAGTGTTATATTTTATTAAATGCAAGGAAAAGCAAACATTTCAAGAGATGTGGTTTACAATTGAGTGTGGAATGTCAGGCCACTGCCTGCTAGTAAGTGGACACAGAGATCATCTAGCTGTTCACTTTGAGCCACAGTGAACTGTTCTTTCCAGTCACCAACAGTGCCTGCAGGTAAGAAAATAATCCAGAATATAAAATACAGGAATAATAATTAACTGATTAGATTGATTAGTAATTTTAATTGATTAAAGCAGTGATCCTGTGACATAGGGTGCATAAGCACACACACACACACACACACACACACACACATGGGGGGGGGAGAGAGAGAGAGAGAGAGAGTCACAGTCTGTCTTCCAGTCATTAACCCAACAGCATTTTGCAGAGTCCTATAATACCTCTTAATGGTGCTTTTTTTGTAAAAAAAAAAAAAAAAAAAAGTGCCGGAACTCACACATGTCATACAACCCACTTTGCGTACTCTACCCATACATGTCATACAACCCACCTTGCCTACCAGAACTCTGTTCTGGGCATTCTATGACAAAAAAAGCCCTGCCTCTTAATATGAATTCACTGCTCAAAGAGTTAACTGTCCTGAATTTGGAATTATATGTAAGAAAGTAAGCATATCTGAGCATGCTTATGCTCACTTTGAAGCAACAGCCAACAATAGTGATGCATTTAGTATTTAGTATTGAAGATAGCACCTTTGCAGGGATGTGCCATAGTGGCACATTGGTTAGAGTGCAGTATTGCAGGCTAATTCTGCTGACTGCCAATAGCCAGCAGTTCGGCAGTTTGATTCTCACCTGCCCAAGGTTGACTTAGCCTTCCATCCTTCCAAGGTTGGGAAAATGAGGGTCCACATTGTTGGGGGCAATATGCTGACCCTGTAAACCACTTAGAGAGTGCTGTAAAGCACCGTGAAATGGTAGATAAGTCTAAGTGCTATTGCTATTAATAAGATAACCTTTATTGTCATTTTTATACTGTGGGCACAAATGGCACACATCAAAAATGAAATTTAGTTGCCCACTATCAAAATGAAACACACATATGGCACATACCTAAACATACTATGAACAACATATGTATAGACCCACATCCCTACATATACGTAGCAAATAAATATTGTCCGTTTTCTAAATATAAACAAACATAAAGGAATTAGTTTTCACTACTGCACTCAACAACAGAACATGTGGCCAGAATCAACATTACCTTTTCTCATGAATGGAGAGATGTCTTGGTTTAAAAGGAAACTAGGTATGGTGCTGTAATTAGCCATTGGGTTTGTCTTCATGCTCTCAAACGTTGTATGTTGCACAATCTCATCCACAACTGCTCCTGAGAGCTCTGATCCCAGGAATTGAGCGATCTTCTGAATTTCTTGGGCTGGATCCTATGAAGTTAGACAGGAAAGTAAGACTGTAAGTAAAATTCTTCCATTTGTGCATGATTCAGAGGCTAACTTTGAAATATCGTTGCATTTTTTTTTGACCCATCTTTGATCACTGCTTAGAATACTGTTCTAGGCAATTGACAAATCCTAATGAAGAATAAAAGGATTAAAATCCATCTAAAAATTATAAAACAGTTCTTTTAGGACTGGGAAAAATAAACATCTTAAGTCCTTTCCTAAATTGTAAGTCTCACCTCCAATAGCACGTTCTGTAGTTTAGGTCTTACCATGAGAAAGATAGAATTAGAATTACAATACATAATATAATATTATAATATAATATGATGTGGCTGCTTTGATTTGCTTTACCCTCACATCTATACCAACAGAATGTACATGTCCAATCCCTTCCCTGCTGTCTCACCCCAGTCTAAATCCCACCTCTGGGGAATTCTGGGAGTTGAAGTCCACACTTCTTCAAGTTGTCAAGGTTGAAGGACATTGGGCTAGTCACTCAATGAATCTGATGAAGTAAGCTGTAGCTCACAAGTTTGTACTTTTATATAAAATGTGTAACTTGGAAAAGTTGCTACCTTCTGATTTCTTTGATGCCCCAGCCATGCAAAGTTACTCTGGAAAGCAAGTGCCAATCACTACCACTCTTTCAACACCAGATGCAGTATGTACTTTTGCTGCCACATTCTGGGCCAATGACAATTTCCAGACTGTCTCCACCCCACCCAAACAAAGATTAAACAGCATTTCATCATCTAGATTCCTGATAAGCAATGTATGTGTTATCAGTTGCCCAATCTCAAACCTCTACGAATGGGTATCACTGGTTTATAAACTAATGCCAATTCAAAGAACTTCCTCACCATCAATACAATGTGACCATCTGCAGTCAGTACTGTACTAAATCCAGGAACTACCCTAAGCTTCCATTAATGGGAATGTGAGCTTCCAGAATCAGCACCCCTTGTGTATATATGAGAGAGAGAGAGGAGGGGGGGGAGAGAGGGAGAGAGAGAGAGGGAGAAGGAGAACATGTAGTCTTAAATTTGGCTGAGGAATTCTGGAAGTTGAAGTCCACAAGTCTTAAAGTTGCCAAGTTTGGAGACCCCTGGTCTAGGGTCCAGAGTAGACCTTGGCTAGGGTAGAATTTCATTACCAGAAAGAAGAAGAAAAAATAGGCCAAAATTAGGCTTGAGCATACTACTTCTTTATGCATCATACCTATTGTCCAGATCTTATAATATTAATTGAAGCCAATCAAATCAGTATTAGCACAGAATACCACATTTTGAGCTGCTGTATTGAGACGAGGTCCTTCTTATGAACCAAGGGAAAGTGCCGACAATGTTAAACTAAGATTTATGAAGAAAAGAGCTCTGAGTTTGCTTATACAACATCCCCCATGAACAACTGCCCTCAGTGACCCCAGTGATTCAGCAAGAAAGAGTAGTAAAACAATTAGAGACATCAATACAGTGAGAATCAATGCCTCTGGAAGGATTTATAGCTCTAAAAGATATGCAAGTAAGACTACAATTTTATGGTTCCTGAGATAGCATTCAAGAGGCCATAAAATATAACTCCCCTTAAAACATGTGGGAATCTCTCATCAAATTTTAGTGTCTTTCCACTGAACCTCCTTAGAAAGTTCTTAAGCACTTAATGTTCTAATTAGGAGCTCCAATGATAGGAGATAAAAAGGACGGATTAGATGCATAGCTGGGGCAATTCAAATATTGCTGGGAAGTTATTGATCTGCCATCAATAATCCAGTGAACAGGGACTATGAGCCAGCCAGAACTTTATATGTGTCATAAGATCTGACTTTAGAACTTTCTAAAGGGGTTGATGAATTTCTTGTCATGACTGATTATAAAGAATAAAGTTAAATCCTGTGATGGTACATATGAGATGGAATTGTGATACGTTTATGTCTGTGTACTGGGCCCAAAAACAAGTCATCTACCTTCTTTATGTCTTCATAGAAGATATATAGAATTGGGTGACGATTTTTAGCTTCCCACCAACCTTGAACATGATCAAACCAGGAGCCCCAGGCAACTGCAATAAAATAAAAAGAAATTAGAGGAATTAAATTTATCATGTTTCCTTCCATCTTTTAGTAGAGGTTGATTCATCTGGAGCCCTCTGTGATCCGGCCACCCAACCAATCTCCATCTTCCCTTTCTTTTTCTTTTCTTCATGCCAATTCACTGTTCCTTCCATCTGTTGCTTGTCTATTATCTCTTTATCTACCAGCAGCATTAGCAGTTTCTTTTTAACTTTTAAAAGAATTTGATGTATTGCCCACCCTAGACAAGCTGTAGTCACTTCTGACCTTCTAGGATCTCTAGGCAAGAGGAAGATGTCTAACGAAAAGGACATGATCACTGATTGTTTTGTAATACACAACTGGAGGCCCTACAAACTGGAGGGGAATCATGAACTTAAAGACATTTGGAGGGCACCTACCTGGGGAAGTTGGTGATTGATAGAAAGATAGAAAGTCAGGCAGATTGACAGACACATACTTATTTTCAGAATTGGAAGAAAAACACTGAAGGATTTGTAAGCTCACAACGAGCACAATTAATTGCATCTCACAGACATTTCTAGCAAGTCCTTCTTCTTCCATAAAGATAGTCGAAAGTCAAAAACTAGACCAAAAATTCAGGGTCATTCCTCAGTATAATCAGATATCCTGAACCTGCTGTGGTGCATCTGCTCTACCATTTTCCACCTCTAATATCTACTCACTCTTTCCAGCAATAAATTTCTCCAGAAACTCATCCCAGTTTCCAGAATCTGGCATCAGTTTGCTAACACGATGGAAGTGGAAATAGGAAACTGCGTTGTCCTTGATGTTTCTGGCCACGTAAATGATCTGGGGAAAATAAAGCACCGAGGATGAAAATCCAGGAATTCTAGTTTCTAGCGTTTCACTATCTATTGAAGAGGCACATTTTTCTATTTAGTTGCAAATCTATCAGGTGGTACAAACTTCTAGTTTGCCTTTCATGACTTTGGTGGTCAAAATATCTTGAAGGGTTTTGTCTAATACTTTACTGAAAATCTATGATCACAACATTCCTGTTATGTGCTACAAGGGAAGGAAACAGAATTGTCAAGCTTCCTTCTCCCACTCCACCTGCATGGGCCAAATGATCTTGGAGATGGGGACAAAACTTTGCCATCTCTTCATCCAGTTTCAGAAATAAAGCAACAACTATGAAGCATCTCTTCCCAGGAAGGCTGCATTAGCAAGCATTCCAGCTGGGCATGTTAGTAGCACTTTGCTCGATTTTGACCACCTTGTATCACCCCCTCCCTTTGGGTAGAAGAGCTGCCCCTTGCCAAACCACCTGAAAATGTAGATGTCATTATAGTTGGGAAGAAGAGGCTGAAGCAAGAAGCTTTACTTGAGGCATGGCAGGTAGGAGCAACTTCTAAGACAGCCTGGGCTAGAGATTACCATCCCTGACCTCCTAAACCAGTGGTTCTCAACCTGTGGGTCGGGACCCCATTTGGGGTCAAACGATCATTTCACGGGGGTCACCAAACAAGGCTGTCCACCATTTTTCCCCCCTTTTCTTTGGCCACGCCCCTGGCACCCAGTGATGTATAAGTGGTTGGGGGTCACCACAACATGGGGAACTGTATTATGGGGTCGCAGCATTAGAAAGATTGAGAACCAGTGTCCTAAACTATAATTAAAGACATAAAATGTCAATTCGCCCATGGTAGATCTACAATGATAGCTGCTGATAGCTGCAAACTTACAAGCTGGCTCATGGGCGTATTTTCCTATTAATTGCACCCATCCCGGGCTTTACAAATTTAGCTTGCAGAACTGCACTTTGAACAAAGTGATATAATCACAGTTAGATATGACAGGGATTTTTTTCAACCAGAGTAGAAAACCATGCCTCTGATGCAGTGCACACTACCAGCACTCCTAAATAGCAACTGTGACTGATCGAAAATGCCTCAAATTCCTACTGCTTTGGAACTTTCATGAATGAGATTTTCCCTTTTTCTTATGCCAGGGATGGAAAACCATGACCCCTTTATGACTTGTGGATGTCAACTCCCAGAATTCCTGAGCCAGCAGGAATAAGTCATAAAAGGGCTATGGCGTAGTTATCCCAAAGATGCTTTTTCATAAGGCAACTTGACTTTCTTGTTTTTTCTTTGAAGATGTTTCGCTTCTCATCCAAGAAGCTCCTTCAGCTCTGTTTCAGCTCTGAAAAGTTGACCCTTACTCCCAGCTCAAGAATCACTGCTCTTTCAACTTATAGTTCATAAACAACATGAAGAGCAAGTAAGTCAAAGCAAACCAGGTTTGTTCTCTGTTGGGATGGCTTGCAATCCCAGAGGTTTAGAATATGACAGAGCCCGATGTATCTTCCAAGGTTTATCCAAGTCCCTTCCTCCCCTCAGATCTGACCACATCACTCAGGAGTCCTGACCTTGCAATTCTGTTCCCAGAAGGAAGGGGGTAGGAGATGAACTGGCATGTGGCTTTTGAGTGTGCGTGGGGAGGCCATTGCCTCTGCTTCTTCAAAACCTAAAAAGTTAGAATGGTATATTCAGCTTTCTGCACTTCCCAATTGGTCACAATCTCTCCAAAGCCAGACATTCTCCTCACCTGTGCGGATGGGTTTGGGGGGGCACATCTCTATGAATGGCATCCGTTCATAGATGGGAGCCCGAGCACATTTCTGAGGGTCTCCTCCCTGGTGGATCATGTCTACTATTTCTTGCATCCACGTTGTCCCTGCCAAGAAAGGGGCAAGAGATACAAGTTATGGAGGCAACCCATGGCTCTCATTCTCCCTGGCTGTCCTCCCATTTCTACATCCTATTGTACCTATATTCCATGTCTCCTTTAATCATGCTTACCAGCTTTGGGATATGTGCAAATGAGAAGGTCATCGGGCCGAGCCTTAAAGCCCCATATAGCATCCCATTGCTCCACTATGGTCTCAAGCAAAGGAACTCCTTCAATCTCCACCAATTGTAATTGTTTGATAGATGCAGGATCCATAGCTTCTATTCCCTTCTGAACGTCCATCTTCTGATGGGACAAGGGAAAATATTAATTTTAGCCCACCACCAGCCTCAGAAGCCAGTCCCCTTGATCTATTCCCTTGAGTGCCATCAGTTGGCGCTAGAGTAATAAGACCTACCAAGTCTTCACTTATCTCTCAGGTAGTCTGGTGTCCTTCTTTGACTTGATCCTTCTGCCTCTCGTCCTGAAGTGATCTGTGGGTGTGCCGAAGAAATGCAGGGCGTGTGCCTCTTCTCACACAATCTTTAAGCTAGGGTTTTTGAACAAGTTCTCTGACTCCGAAGGAGTTAAACTTGACATGGGTCTGAGTGGACCTGTGTTGCAATTTTAAATATATATCTTAAATATTCTCATTCTTTCCCTTTGGGAGACATGCCTAATTTGGATCAGGAGAGAATCCTAAGCATTTTATTCTGAAATACATGACACGATTTCCAGAATTGCTGATGTAATATTTTCTGAAGCAAGATCTGATTAGGGCTGAACTCCAGGGCTCTGCTTGCCCCTCCCTCTTCTGCCCCAAATGCATTGTCTAAGAATTGTCAACTGAGTTGCACAGTTTCAGATGACCACCAGATGGCGGGAAAGCAATATGGAAAATTGTCTTTCCTGCCATAAAGGGGCTGTCTAGATTTTTGCAGGGCAAATCTAATATCCTATCCCATTGTGCCCCTTTCCTGTCGTTTCCCAATCAACAGGAATTGACTGATTGGCTTGTCACTCAAGCCTGACATTGTGCATTGAGAGAGAGAGAGACCCAAAATAATCCAATTGGTTTTTATGCCTAAAGTGGACTAGAATTTACAGTCTTCTGGTTTCTAACCTGGAGCCTTAACCGCTTTCCTTAAATTGTTTATATGGATATTGCCCATTGATCATGTAATTTACACCGGCACCCCGTGGAAGAAGACGAATTACAGCCCCGGCGTGGTTGGGTTGACTTTATACAATTGCTGGGTGTCCGGAGAAGCCATTGATGAGCTGCACGAGAGGTACCTGGAGAAGTGGACTCAGCTCTTTGAGGAGCATAAGGCCAAGTACGGACTGCCCCAAGACAAGCACCTAACGATCACCTAGCCGGCCACACTGGACCAGCTTGGGACACGGAGGGGCAATATTTTTTAGAGAATGTTTGTTGTGGGTATGTGTATGTATGTAGATGAATGGTGGCCCTGTTAGGTATAAATTTTATTATTGTATTTAGGGCGTATGAATGTGAACTATTTTTATTTTTATGTACATTAATTAAGTGTGAATGTGTATTGAGTGTGTGTGGTAGGAGAATGGTGGAGTCAGGGGCGGAGCCTGGTGCCCCCTCTGCTGAGTGCAATAGCAAAAGCGGGTGGTGGTGGTGGTGGTGGTGCAGGTCGGAGCATCCCGGTTATGACTGGGATGGGCAGATATGGTGGGAGCCGAGGGGCAGGCCATCTTTGGGGAACGAGGACTCGCTATATTAGAGCGATTCCTTGTTCCGGCCCCTCAAAAGGCCCATCCTGTAGTACTGGTGACAGGGGAGTACAGGGCCCTAGTTGTAGGCTGCTGTTGCTTAATGCCAGGTCCATTGTCAACAAAGCCTCCCTTGTCCATGATTTAATATTGGACAGCGGGGCGGACCTGACATGTATAACCGAAACCTGGCTGGGCCCTGAGGGGGGTGTTTCCCTCTCGGAGATGTGCCCGGACGGGTTCGTGGTGCTTCATCAGCCTCGACATCAGGGCAGGGGTGGGGGAGTGGCAGTCATCGTTCGGAGGTCCTTGAGTCCTCGTGGGATTCCTGCCCCAGAGGTTGTTGGGTGTGAGTCCCTCCTATTGAAGTTGGGTTCACGGGTTCAGTTGGGCTTGCTGCTGACGTACCTACCTCCCAGCTGCGTTGCAACAGCCCTGCCTGTGCTGCTGGAGTCAGTAGCCGGGTTGGCGGTGGAGTTCCCCAGACTTATGGTACTGGGGGACTTTAACCTGCCATCACTCGGCAAACGCTCAGAGGCGGCGCAAGAGTTCATGGCTTCCATGGCAACCATGGACCTGACCTAGGTAATCCAGGATCCTACTCATAGGGGTGGTCACACACTCGACCTTGTGTTTCTCTCGGGGCAATGGAGACATGATCTGGAATTAAGGGGAATAGAGATCTCTCCCTTGTCATGGACAGATCATTTCCTATTGAGGCTGGACTCCAGAGCATCACTCCCCCATTGCAGGGAGATGGAGCCGACTAGGTGGTTCCGCCCCAGGTGCCTAATGGACCCAGATCGGTTCCAGGAGGAACTTGGGGAAATACCTGACTCCCTTGTCCACAACTCGTCTGGGTCCCTGGTTGCGGCCTGGAATGAGGCAGCGTCCGGGGCCCTGGATCAAATTGCGCCTTTGCGACCTCTTTGTGGTGGTGGTCCCCAGAGGGCGCCTTGGTTTACTGAGGAGCTTCGGGAGATGAAGTGCCACAAGAGACGTCTAGAGCGATGTTGGAGGGCCAGTAACTCTGAATCTGACCGATCACTATTAAGAGCCTATCTTAGGACTTATTTAGTGGCGATAAGGGCGGCAAAGTGTGTTCACTTTTCCGCACTTATTGCGTCCACAGAATCTCGCCCGGCTGCCTTGTTTAGGGTGACCCTCTCCCTTCTTAAAGTGGAGGAGGCGGAGGAATCCTTGCAGGGGAGAGCTGAGGAGTTCGTTCAGTTTCTTTCGGACAAAATCGCTCAGATTCAGAGAGACCTGGACTCCGACTGGGCAGTGCCAGCCAATTTGCCGGGGGCTGGTCTTAGTTATGTTATCTGGAGCGAGTTTGAGCCTGTGACCCCTGATGAAGTGGACAAGGCTGTGAGGGCAATGAATGCCGCCACCTGTTTATTGGACCCGTGCCCCTCCTGGCTGGTTTCTGCCAGTAGGGAGGTGACATGAGGCTGGCTACAGACGATAATCAACGCCTCCTTGATGGAGGGGTCTTTCCCACAACCTTTAAAGGAAGCGGTGGTGAGGCCCCTCCTCAAGAAGCCTTCCCTGGACCCAGCTGTTTTGAAGAACTTTTGTCCTGTCTCCAACCTCCCCTTTGTGGGGAAGGTTGTAGAGAATGTGGTGGCGTCCCAACTCTTGCGATCCTTGGATGAAACTAATTATCTGGACCCTTTTCAATCTGGTTTCAGGCCCGGCTACCGCACTGAGACTGCTTTGGTTGCACTGACCAATGACCTCTGGCGAGCCCGGGATAGGGGTCATTCCTCTATCTTGGTGCTTCTTGACCTCTCAGCGGCTTTCGATGCCATCGACCATGGTATCCTTCTGCGTCGTCTTGGAGAGGTGGGGATGGGCAGCACCGTATTGCTGTGGTTCTCCTACCTCTCTGACAGGTAGGAGGTCGCAGTCGGTGTTGGTGGGCAGACAGAGATCGACTCCTAGGCGCCTCGATCATGGGGTGCCTCAGGGCTTGGTCCTGTCCCCCCTCCTTTTTAACATCTACATGATACCGCTGGGTGAGATCATTCGGCGACACGGGGTGAGGTATCATCAGTACGCGGATGATACCCAATTGTATATCTCCACCCCGTGTCCTTTTGGTGAAGCAGTCGACGTAATGTGCCAGTGCCTGGAAGATGTGAGGGTCTGGATGGGAGTGAACAAGGCTTAGACTCAACCCTGACAAGACCGAGTGACTCTGGGTCTTGCCTCCCAAATGTCAACCTGATGGTCCATCATTAGTCCTGGGGGGGGGGTAAATTTACCTCCCTCAGTGCAGGCACGCAACTTGGGTGTCATCCTGGACTCACAGCTAAATTTGGAACAACATCTATCGGCTGTGGCCAGGGGGACCTTTGCCCAGGTTCGCCTGGTGCACCAGTTGCGGCCTTATTTGGACCGGGAGGCTTTACTCACGGTCACTCATGCCCTTGTCACCTCAAGACTGGATTACTGTAACGCGCTCTACATGGGGCTACCCTTGAAGAGCGTTCGGAGGCTGCAGTTGGTTCAGAATGCAGCCGTGAGAGCGATTGTGGGCGCGCCAAGGTACGCCCACGTGTCACCTATCCTCCGCGAGCTGCACTGGCTTCCTGTGGGTCTCCGGACGCAATTCAAGGTGTTGGTTATCACCTTTAAAGCCCTTCATGGCATAGGACCAGGTTACTTACAGGGCCGCATACTGCCGCACAGTTCCCAGACACCAGTGAGGTCCCACAGATTGGGCCTCCTTCAGGTCCCGTCGGCCAGACAATGTCGGCTGGCGGGCCCTCGGGGAAGGGCCTTTTCTGTGGTGGCTCCGACCTGGTGGAATCAACTTCCCCCCGAGATTCGAACTACTCCCACCCTGCCGGCCTTTAAGAAAGCCATTAAAACTCTCCTATTCCAGCAGGCCTGGGGCTGATGTCCCCGGGGGGAGGGCGGGATATGATCGGACATGCTGTATGAATGTATTTATTTTATTGTTTTATTATCATATTATTGTTTTAAATTTTGTACGCCGCCCTGAGTCCCTTGGGATTGGGCGGCATATAAATTTTAGAAATAAATAAATAAATAAATAAATATAGTTGTAAACTCCATGATGATTTGATTTCTGTCAAGTTGGACCAGAAAAACAAGTTTGCTCCAAACATTAGCTGACTATTAAAAACAAATCTCTGCATGGGACTTATTATAAATGAAAAAGCAAAAAAATCCCTAACCTTGTCAGGGCAAGCCACCAGTATTAAAAGTAAGAGCAAATCCCATTCCTCCTAGCACTGATAAGGTTACTTAGTTTGGTAATGAAATGTCTGCAAAAAAACCACCAAGCTCAGAAAGCACCAAGGATCTTATAGTTCAACCCTGAGCTACAAATATTTTTTTCACAGATAGCTTACCAGCAGTCAACAGGCAGGTTAAGGTATAAACATGGTGGAGCGCAGAGTGACTTCTGTCACCATGGGAGGTGGTGCAAACGATTTACCAAAGCAATCTGTGACCTTCCCTGAAGGCTTCCCTGTTGATCTAGCTCATGGGTAGGCAACCTTGGTTCTTTTATGATTCATGGACTTCAACTCCCAGAATTCCTGAGCCAGCCATGCTGAGGGGAAAGAGAGAGGTTTTCAAGCTGAGCTACGCTGACTCAGGAATTCTCGGAGTTGAAGTCCATGAGTCATAAAACAGCCAAGGTTGCTTACCCCTGACTAGCTTGTGGAAAGGCTGCAGAGAATGTGTCAAATGGCAGTCAGGTGGCCATGGGACTCTGCAACCATCGTCAGTGTGAGTTGGTTACCAAATGCCCAGATTGTGGGTGCTTGGACAGTTGAACTTTGAGGAAGATCAGAAGTACCACAGTTTCAACACAGCTGTGACTTCAAAAGATCATTGAATAAGTGATTGTTAAATGAGTGTCTTGTTAGCAGGGCCAACAGAGGAACAATTGGAGATTACTTGGGCAAGATTTACGGATAATGGCCATTTGCTGCAGGTTTTTCTCCCAACAGAGATCTGATCAGGACATGGAGAGAGGATATGCTATGTTTGGTTATAATTTAGACCTTTGGTCATCTTTATTCTCTTACTTTTCTTTTTCTTGTACAAGCCACAAACTGAATTCATGTTAAGGGTAAAATGTAAAATACTGTATGTGTGCCTCTCTGAGATCTTTGGGAAAAGAACAAAGTGCAAAGGCTATTCAAATAAATGTACTTTATCTGATCACCAGAGAGAAGATTATGAGGCTAGGCCTGTTTCAATCGATATTAGGGCAATTCCATTCCAAGGGAAAGGCTTATAAAATGGCAAGTCCATCCGTCACAAAAGAACCTTCTGCCATTGCTTGCAAATTTGCAGTTATTTCTTTAACTCCAGTAGAAATCAGCGGATGAAAAAGTCTTGCTTGAAGGCATTGTGAAGCTTGTTTATAATTCTGTGCGGAATTTCAAGCCACTGTTGCCTAGTTGCTGAATGCAGATTTCATCCAGCTGTTCACTTTGAGCTACTGTGAAGTGTTCCTTCCAGTTCCCTACGGTGCCTAGAGATGAGTAAAACAATTTACATAAAGACAAGGAAAAAAACCTCAACAGTCTGGATTTCCAGCATTCTTTTTTCAAGCCTAGTGGTTCTCACTCTTAGCCATTTTGAAATATGCAGACCTCTGGGATTTGTAGTCCACACATCTTAACATGACCAAGGTTGAGAAACAATCTTCTGATTCAACAGGTTTCAGAACTCTTCCTCAACCAGTTTGGCTGTTAAGAAGTCCTACTTTTGTCAACTTTTTCTAGTTACTTTGGAAAACATTCTGGGCTGCAATACAATATTTCCTCTTCACTTTTCCGACTGCTCAACGTAATCCCACACAACTCACTTTCCCTCAGATGCAGTTAGAAATTTGGTACTCTCCCCACCTTTTCTCATAAAGGGTGACACAGTTTGGTCCATGAAAAGTGAAGGCATGTTGCTGTAATTAGCCATTGGATTGTCTTTCATGTTCTCAAACATGGTGTGCTGCACAATTTGATCCAGGACTGATTCTGAAAGCTCTATATTTAGGAACTCAGCCACTTTTTGGATTTCCCGAGCTGGGTTCTGTGGAGGGAAAGAAAAATTAGACAAGAAGGGTAGTGAATTAGGTTGTGAGAATCCAGTTTTAGCTTATAGAAAATCTCACTGAGGAAGACATGTTTCTGTGTGGTCTTCACACCCCGTGTTTTATTTACATAATTAGGAGCTTTTAGTTGATCAATTCCACTCATTTAGTTTTTCCCAAGATAACTCATGTTCACATGGACCAATTAATAAGGCATTCACATTTTCTATAGACTTTAATAAAGCAGTGGATATAAGAGAATGAGGAAAAACAAATAACAGAAAGTAGATGCACCTTTTCCCTTCAAAATCCAAATCTGTTTAGCAAGCTATATTCATCTTTTAAATTGTGATTGTATGAAATCACAGAGTTCTGCGAGCAATGGCAACTGAACAACAACAACAAAAAAAAAATAACAAGTTTTTGAACTTTGCATGCCAAACAATGAGAATTTTTACACATCGCGACTCTGATGCCAATCTGTCGTTTTATGGTTGGTGCGTGCCTGTATTTGTGTCTGTATTTAAACTTGATCATAATATGTAGGATTTGATTTTCAAAATGTTGCATAAAATTGTGCTCTATTTTCCCCCTAAAAATCACTACTAAAAATATTAGTAGAAAAATGTGAACCTTATTTGGTGAACATTAATAGTTCCTAAGGTTCTCTTTTGTGGAAAATACTACCTGAGCATATCTCTAGGTCAGTGGTTCTCAACCTTTCTAATGCCGTGACCCCATAATATAGTTCCCCATGTTGTGGTGACCCCCAAGTGGGTGTGGCCACCAATAAGAGGAAGTAGGACAGCTAGGGAAAACGGAAAAAAATGGCGGACAGCGTGGTTTGGCGACCCCCGTGAAATGGTCATTCGACCCCAAATGGGGTCCCGACCCACAAGTTGAGAACCACTGCTCTAGGTATAAGTGTTGAGAGATGCTTACCTCTTTTATATCTTCATAAAAGAGGTACAAAATTGGATGATGGTCTTTAGCCTCCCACCAACCACGAACATGGTCAAACCATGAGCCATAACCAACTGCAAAGAAAAATTCAGATTAAAAATTAGAAAATGATATATTATACAGTATGCAAATTTGCTTCAGCCATTTCCCCAAATTATAAATCTAGAAAATAATTTAGCATGGGATTTTCCTGTGTTTTTATCTTCTTTTTACCAGATTCTGGTCACTCCTCAGCATGTGTATTGTTAAGCAGAAAGTTCCACTTGCCTCCTGTATCAGGAAACTCAATGAAAGAGTTATCAACATCACCTAATCCCCTAAAACATGCAGGTAAGAAGCTTTGTTCTCTATATGAATAGCCTCTGCTTACCTTTTCCAGCAATGAAATTCTCCAGAAAATCTTCCCACTTTTCCAGAGCTTGAATTATTTTAAGCATGCGATTGAAATAGAAGTAGGAGACAGCACAGTCCTTGGCATTTCTGGCCACATAAATGATCTGTGGGGAAAAAAAAATCTTATGGGAAACATACGTTAATGGAAACACAACTTATGGGAACTACATGATTTGTCCAGGCCATTGGTGAAGCCACTTCCAGATATCAGTAGTAACCAAGTCCAATGCTACTTAGAAGTTAGAGATCTTTAATTTAATCATTCATTTATTCCCAGGTAAATGATTTAGGACTATAGCAACCTTGATGAGGAGGACAGAAAGAGTTCCCAGATTTCTGTTGCTTGTTACGGACAAAATACAAGTATTATAACTGTTGTGTCCTGAGCCTGCGAAGGCAGGCTTGGGATGTTGCAACAGTCCTGGGCAGCTGCAAACTGCCCGGGACCAGACTGGTCGGCACCAGCACTCGCGCGCATGCGTGAGGCGCTCAGCGCGCCGAAATGTATCTTTTTGGCCCGGGGAACGTCCTTAAGAGAGGCTGAGAGATCTGTGCTGCCTTGAGTTGTAACACGGCTACTGAAGACCAATAAAGCGTTCCTGAAACAACAAGAATGTCTCGCGCCGTCATTACCATTAACCGAGGACTCAACAATAACAATGAGGGTTCCTTGTTGCTCTCTGAGCTGTCTATTTTCTGGCAGACATTTCATTACCCAAACTAGGTAACGTCATTAAGAATATTAAAACATTCAAGATAAAAAAGGAAAATGCCCTCATTCATATTAAATGTATGTCAGCTGCCACGCTATGCTTGCTTGTGCTTTGCTGCTATGTGGTGTGAGACTGCCATGAACTGTGGGGAGGGGGAACAAAGGGGGGAATACTTGGGAAAATGAAAGTAAAAACTGTACCTCCTCGAGACACTGCCTCAAATTCTCTCAACTAGAAGAAGGAGGGGCCACATACCAAGCTGCGCTTGGACTGACCATTTATGGAGGCATCTTGCTTGAAACTGATTAGTTACACCAGGGTGAGCAGTGAGAGACAGTTAAGGGAGGGAAAATAGAATTTAAGGATTTTGGTGCACGATTCTCAGTTCTGGCTTTGTAATACTGCAGTACACTTGATCTCTAATGAATTATTCTTTTTGCAACAAATGAAGCTAAGGATCATTTCTATTTAAAGGTTTAAGTTGTGGCAGGTCCGACCACATTGTAGAACAGAACTCTGGCAATGTAAATTCATTCCAAGATCAAACATGCATCAGATTAAATTCTGAGTCTGCTTAAGCTTGGTGACATAATCTTCTCCAAATGAAATGTTTATGAGAGAAGCAGAACATTTAGAAATTTTGGGCTGTTCAAATGTAATTAATTTCTGTTTCCTTGAGCCATTCTTCAGATGCAGTCACCATCTATTATCATGTTGTGCTGAATGGGGATGATGAGCACTGTAGTCCCACAAGTACCAGGTTGGAAAACATATATCTAGTTCTCCCCAGAACAAATGCTTACGTTGAGGGGATTCTGAAAAAGTGTAATGCCTGGGCAGTAAGGTAGGAAGCATTACATAATGAAACCCTACACCTTGGTGAATATTGATACATGAGTAAAGAGCTCCAGATCTTTGAATACCACCCCCCAATAATTCTAACCTTGCAATTTTGTTCCCAGAAGGAAGTTGGCAGGAGTTGAACTGGGAAATGAGATTTGAGAGTTCGCGGGGAAGGCATTGCCAATGCCAATTCAAAGCCTGCAATATCAGGGGAGACAATCAGCACACATTGCAGAGTACAGTTTTTAATTCTACCGTTTTCCCTCTCTGTGCCTGTAGGTCTTACCTGAAGGGATGGGTTTTGGAAGGAAAAGTTCTATGTAGGGGCTCCGCTCATTAATGGGTGCCCGGGCACATTTCTGTGCATCTCCTCTATGCTGGACCATGTCCACAATTTCCTGTATCCACGTAGTCCCTACCAGGAAGGAAGGAGAAAAGGTACAGGGAATAGAGAGTTCAGCTAGTTGTCCTGGCTATCTACATTTCATGGTTCTCCATAGCTCTACCAACAACTCTCTTGGGCTCCTCTTTACCTGCTTTGGGATAAGTGCAGAGAAGAAGGTCATCAGGCCGAGCTTGAAAACCACTTATTAGGTTCCAATTTTCTACCAATCCGCTGAGCAATGGGATTCCCTCCAATTCCACCAATTTGGAGTACTCGATAGACTTGTCTTCCAAACTTTCCATCTCAGATTTGAGGTCCATCCACAACACAGCAAAAGAGATATTATAAGGTACTTCTTAGTCACCTCTGCTTCCTTTAACAGAGTTGCCACAATGTACAATGTGAGATCCAGTTTCTTTTTCACTCCTGTAACGGACTTTCAACTTTCCTTCTGCTCCTCCCTCTTAACACACTGCATAAACTGGGATCTGGGTGGAACATATCTATTGAGGCCGATTTGGAAATACTTCTAAATTTCGGGTAGATATTTCTCATATGTGAAAACTGGGCAATCAGCTTTTATCTCCTTTTCAACTGAATGAGTGAATTGTACACATAAAATAATTTTGTGCAAAAGTTGCTGAGCAAGACTTCTGATTTCCACACCACACCTCTTAATTATGCAAAGCATGAAGACATGAACTGTATTTAATTTAAACATACGAGCATAAGCACTGCTCTGCAGGCTGAAACCCCTGGCCTATCTAATTGAGCAGCCTGTTCTCATGGCGACCAACCAGCTGGGCAAGGAAGCCCACTAGTCTTCCAGCAGATAGCCTTCAGACTAGATTACTGTAATAATCTCCCATTTGAATGAAGTACGCAGTATATAAAATAAAATTTAATGTCGGTTCTGATCTCATTGTTTTTTGGTGTACAGCTGCTACCATGTCTTTCTGTGGCCCAGAAAAAACCTAACATCAACATTAATTTATCTCTTGCATATTTGCTCCACCTTATTTATTTGAATTACTCCTTTTGTTTTATTCCTAAAATGGCAACCATCTTGTGAGGTGGATGTGCTGACAGAGTATCCAATGAGCTAAATAGCTGAGTGAGGACAGGGTGGGTTTTCCCAACTCCAGTCCAACTTATTAACAACTATTGCATACATTTTTATTGTTAAAAATATATTATTTTCCTAAGGAAATATGCCAGGGTCCCCCATGTCGAAAGCAGGTCTTATTAATGTCACAATGATGGTGCTGTGTGAGAGCACAGACGTTCAGAGGCAATCAGCCTGAAACTACACTACTCCATTCCTAAAACAATAATCTGGTCTTTTTGCCAAAAAAGAGACTGGCTTTAAATCTATGGCATCTCTTTATTGATGCTGACAGTAGAAAAAGGTTCCTAATTTTAAACCTCAATTTCACAATTTCACAAATCCAGTGTCTGTTACACTGAAGTAACTGAAATTCTACCATTATGACCTCAGAAGGTGGGGACCTTTGCTTTGTTTTTCACAAATACTGAACTATAACTCTACCTAAGATTTTAGATTCTTGAAAGATAACTTGTGTAGCTTTCAATTCTGCTATGGTCAAGGAAAGTGTGAGAAATGGGATTAAAATATAATTATTTCTCTCTTTCTCATACTGCCTTTTTCTTGCACCCTGTCCATATATATTCTTTTAGGGTTTTTTTTTTAAAATGTTAATGGCTGTGTGGATTTTTAGTTATGTGCAGGGGAGTTTAATTCTTCTTTTAATCTCCAGAATAAAGAAATGAACTGAAAGTCTGTACTGCTAACTTTTCATTCATTTAGCCTAGTAATTAAGTCCCAGGAAATTGTTACGAGGTTGTTATGATTAACTGAATCAACCCTGACTGAAGGAATAAGTGTATGCTGGAATTTAATTCTTTTTTAATATTTTGGAAGTGGCTTGGTATTTTCTTCCTAGGACTGGGAGAAAATGACTGGCCACAAATCACCCAGTTGGGTTTGTGTCTAAGGGAGAACTAGAACTCCTGGGCTCGTGGCATCGTGTTTAATCACTACACAAAGTTACTGCCCTCCAGAATTCTCATCCAGTACAGCTAAAGAAAGAGAGGTGGTTTGGTGTAGCAGTAAAAGCACCATGCCAAAAACTAGGAGACCAAGTTTTAGGTCCTCACAAAACCAGCTGGCTGGCCTGGGGCCAGTCACTTTCTCTTACCCCATGAAGCAAGCAATGGCAAACTGCTTCTGAAATTCTTGCCAAGAAAACTACAGGAACCTATCCAGTCAGTTGCCATAAATTAACACTGATTCAAAGATCTCCCCCCCCCCAAATCCCCCTCATACATCACCAGCTAAAGAAAGATGCTGGTGAAAAGAAAAGGAATGATTAGGAGCGACATGATGCCTGTTGCTTCAACCACTTCCCTTAAACTGTTTATAATAGTGTTGCCTACTGGTGATACAATTTATAGCTGTCAGTCATAAAATTCTGAATCCCATGTTGAGTTGCTTTCCTTCTCTCAACTTAGACAAAACAAAAGTTAGCTCCAAACATTCAGCAGATTTTTTTGGGATGCTATATATACTGCTTTCCAAGTTTAAAACAAATTCCAAAATGGGACTCTATTAGAAAAAGAAGCAAAAGCAATCCAAATGGGCAAAAAGTGAAACCTTCTAAATCCTTACGAAGCACTGAAAACTATTTGGATTTATAGAATGTAGGAGCACTTTCTAATTCAGGCTTCCTCAATATTGGCAACTTTAAGACATGTGACTGGGGAATTCTGGGAGTTGAAGTTCACACATCTTAAAGTTGCCAAGGATGAGAAACCCTGGTCTAATTGATGGTATCTTGGGGGCCAGACCAGATGCTAGGTAGAGCTGTTTTTCATTCGTCTTTTCTATCACTTTTTACATCCCAGTTTCCTTTTTTAAAAAATTAGACTTGAGAAGGAGAAACCTGCAACATGTGTTTTGATGGAAGTCCTGAAGGAGGAAGTCTTTAGACCCTCTTGTTCTCAAAAAATATGGGGAGACTTCGCTATCATTTTTCATCATTTATTTTATTATGGATAGATTCATATCAATGTAAATTCATTTCAATGTGGAGCTGGATGGGAGGACAGGTGCTGCACTAGAGCCATTCTATCTGGGCCATGCAGGCTACATTTTAAGGGTTAGGTCTGAGAAGAAAGGAAGGGTTGGTTATTTTGCTTAATCAATGGGGATCACAATTGTAAATAACATATTCTTGCCTTCTTCCTGAATAAATGTTCTTGAGTCAGAGGTGGCTGCTGTCAAGTGCTGGAGGGTGCAAGCAACTTACCAAAGCAACAGGCAACCTTCTCTGGCAGCTTCCTCATTGATTCTGCTAGTGGAATGGCTCATGGGAAGGTCACAAACAGCAATCACATAACTATGGAACATTGCAACTGTTGTAGGTGCAAGCTGCTTGCCAATCAATCAAATTGTGATCACATGACCATGGGGTTGGTGGGACAGCTAGAACTTTGAGGATAGTCATACCAGTAAGTAACACTCATATGATGTTACCAAAGGGCATCACCGTGTACTCGAAGTGCCCGTACTGAGTACCAAATGCCGTCTTCCACTCATCACCCGACCGAACTCTGACAAGGTTGTAAGTTCCATGCAAGTCCAGTTTTGTAAAGATTTTGGCTTCATGGAGCCGGTCCAAGAGTTTGGGGATAAGGGGCAGCGGGTATCGGTTGCGCACCATGATGGCATTTAATTTCTGATAATCACAGCAAAGCCGCAATTCACCGGACTTTTTCTTGACAAAGAGTGTGGGTGCAGATACTGGGGAGGACGAGGGCCGAATAACTCCCCGAGCCAAATTCTTGTCCAAAAAGTCCCACAGCGCAGCCAACTCGGGGTCCGACATGGAATACAAATGCCCCACTGGGAGAGGCGTGTTAGAGACTAAGTCAATGGGGCAGTCATAAGGCCTGTGCAGGGGCAATCGATCCGCCTCAGTCTCGCTGAACACATCAGCATACTCTGCCAATTCAGAGGTAAGGACCCGTGTGGGCCCCTCTACCTGACCGGCACAGATGTGGCAAGTGTGGTCCATGCACTGCAGGCTTGGAAAGGTGACCAAGTTCTGAGACCAATAGATCTGTGGGTCATGCGCCCGGAGCCACGCCATTCCCAAGACCACGGGAAAATACAGGTCTGAGATGATATAAAACTGAATGGCCTCCTCATGATTACTGATGGCCATACTTAGCAGTTGTGTGTGGCCTTAATTGGCCCAGACAGAAGCACTCGACCATCAATGGTCTCCACTAACATCAGCGGATCCACCGGGCATTGGGGAATCGTCCATTTAGCCACAAATGCTGCGTCCATAAAGTTTGTAGTGGCCCCAGAGTCAATCAATGCGTGGACAGGAATCTCCTTGGGCAATGTAGGAAGAAGAAGGCACGCCTCCAAGAGCAAATGTTTTGGGGGTCCGTGGGCAGCATCAGAAGGATGTGATTCGGAGTTGCGGGATGCCCGACCCAAAAGGCCTTTTAGATTGGGTGTGGCCTGTTTCCCGACAGGGAAGCCAAGGGCAGTCTTGGAACCGGCTCCGTCACAGATGCCCCTCGTCGCTTCTTGGGGCAGAAAGCAGCCAAATGTCCCCACAGTAAAAACACAACCCCCCCGAACGTCGCCTGTTCATCTCTGCCACCGATAGACGAGATCTGGCAGCACCTAACTCCATTGGCTCCTCCCTCTGGACTGGGGTCGCACTCACAACGGGGGCCATACAGATCTCTGGGGTAGCACGGCGACTCCTTCGCTGCTGCAGCTGGGCGTCGATCTGCAGGCAGAGATGAATGAGCCCATTAAGGTCTGGGGGAAGCTCAACCCGGGCCAACTCATCCAACATCTCCTCCAACAAGCCATCCTGGAAAGCGTCCATGAGCGCAGCCTCATTCCAGGCTGAATCCTGGCTATGCAGCTGAAATTCGCTGATATAGCCCTGCAGGGGGTGTCGGCCTTGCCTCAGGGCTTTCAAATGCCGGGTAGTTGTCTGAGTCTTGATGGGGTCCTCATACATCAACCACATATGATCACAAAACCCCACAAAGTTGTCTAGCAATGGGCTACGTTGGGCTAACAAGGGTGTGCCCTAACGAGCTGCAGAACCAGAAAGCAGGCTTATCATAAACCCCACTTTATCCCGGTCAGTGGGGAAATCATCTGCTTTCACACTGATGTACAGGTGGCGTTGTCCCATAAACACAGGAAACATGTCCAGGTTGCCATCAAATTTGTCCGGCCTCGCCACTTGGCATTTTCTCCTGGGTGGTGGTGGAGCAGCAGTAACCTGGGCGGATAGCTGAACAACTTGAGCAGATAACAAAGCCAGCTGCTGGGCGAGCTGGGCGTTCTCAGCACTTAGCTGCTCCATGATAGTAGGGGGTGAGGCTGAAGGCAAACTGTTCTATCCCAGCCTATTGCCATCCTTGTTAAAGGCACAAGGACCAAACTCCTGCTGATGCAATAGGCTGGAGACTTTACAACAGAATAAACCCCTTTTAATATGGGTGACAAACCTGTCAAATAGTCCAAAACACAAACAGCAAAACTCAAGTTCAAAGGAATGAAATAGTCCACAAGAAACACAATGCAAACAGAAGAGAAGTCACAAGCAAGACGAACAGACCAGGATTCCAAGAAGCACTTTGCAAATGGTTGCCTTCAGCAACCAGCACCGCCCACACTTCCTCCCTTTATTCAGCAGTCCCAAGGCGTTGGCCTCTCATCGCCTTCTCCTTTTACTCTGGAGGCGTCGTATTGATTGCTGCTGATTTTCTCTTGCTAAATGACGACGTGTGTGAGCATCAATTAGCAAGTCCCTCAGGTGTGACTCTTCCGAGTCTGACTCATTCTCCTCACACAGCTGAGCTTCATCAGGAACATGACTGGAGGGCCCAGGCTCTGCATTAAACCGTGAGTCCTGTAATTCATCCCAGCCTCCCTCTGCCCCGATCGCCCTTCAAATACCTCCTCCACCTCCTCCTCAGATTCTTCAGACTCAGCTGTTGCGAACACAGGTTGGCACGGAATCACAACAATACTTGTATTGTAGATAGTTCTCGTATGTGTAAACTGGCCATCCAATTTACCCATCCTTTTCAGCTGAATAAATTGACTGTATATATAAAATAAAATTGTAAAAAAGTGGCTGACCAAGATTTCTGATTTCTACACCACATTTCTTAACTATGCAAAATAAAAGAAGGCATCCAGAAGACATGAATGGAAAGTTATGATGCAAGTTATATTTTATCTGAATATAAGAACATAATCAGTGCTCTGCTGGATCAAACCTCTGGCCCCTCTTGCCCAGCAGTCTGTTCTCACAGTGACTAACCAATTGCACAAGGAAGCCCACTAGTCTCCTATCAGATGGCCTTCAGACAAGACTCAAACTGGGATTTGGGTGGAGCGTATCTGTTGAGGCCGATTTGGAAATACTTCTAAGTTTCCGGTAGATATTTCTCATATGTGAAAACTGGGCAATCAGCTTCAATCTTCTTTTCAACTGAATAAGTGAATTATACATATTTTAAAAAATTATGCAAAATAGCTGACCAATACCTCTATTTTCTTCACCATGCAAAGCAAAAGTAAGGCATCCAGAAGATATGAGTGGAAAGTTATCATATAAAGTATATTTAATTTGAATATAAGAACATAAGCAGTGCTCTGCTGGACGAAACCCCTGGCCTCTCTAGTCCAGCAGTCTGTTCATACTGTGGTCAACCAGTTGGGCAAGGAAGCCTCCCAGCCTTCAGAAAAGATTAATAACTATTCCTCTCCCATCTGTATGAAGTATGCAGTACGTAAAATTAAATTTAATGTTGGTGCTTTTTTTGTCAACAATTTTATTCAAAAAAGTTAAACACAAAATCCAAAAGAAAATAATTAAACAAAATTAAACAAAACCATTAAAGAAAAGGTGAATTAAAACAAGGACAAAAATACATGTTATTTCTCCTAGCTAAATACTGACAAATCTATTGCAATAATAATAGCTTCCCCCCTTGCAAACCGGTTTAAAATCTATAAGCTGGTACATCTATTTGCAAACCTATTGACCTGTCATACATTACATATATGAAAGAAAAAAAATAGTTAATAGGTTAAGCAGCAGTAAAGTTCAAAGTACTCTGTTAAACTGTTACTGTAATTTATTTGTAGAAAGTGTATACGGTTTTTTATTTACCACACATCGCCCAAATCATTATCTTTGAGTCCAATGTTCTTGTTTGGTTCTTAATAATGAAACCTTTTCTTTGGTTTTTAATTGGGAAAAAAATAATGTTGGTTCTGATCTTATACCATTATTTTTTAGAATATGTCCACTGACATTCATTTTGAGGCCAAATATGACCTTAGGGTCTAGACACAACCTAACATTGACATTAATTTATCTCTTGAAAATCTTATTTGGGGATGGTCTGAGAGGCTACATGCTATCTTTCTCATATATCAAGCCTAGTAATTAAGTGCCAGGAAGTTGTTTTGGGTTTGTTATGGTTAACTGAGTGAACCCTGACTTCTGGTAAAGAATAAATGCTTGCTGGATTTTTAAAAAATGTTTTGAAAGTAACTTGATGCTATTTTCTTACTAGGGCTGGGAGAAAGTGATTGGCATCAAATCATCCAACTGGGTCTGTATCTAACACAGAACTAGAATTCATGAACTCTTGGCACCATCTTTAATCTAGTTACTGTCCTGCAAAATTCCCACCCAGTATAACTAAAGGAAGTTAGTCAGTTTAATGTTAAGGCACCAGGCTAGACACCCGGAGACTGAGTTTTAGTTCCACATGAAGCCAGTTGGATAGGCTTGGACCAGTCACTTTCTCTCAGCCCTAAGAAACAGGCAATGGCAAACTACTGCTGAAAATCTTCAGGAACCTGTCCAGGCAGTCACCAGGTGACTCAAAGACACACACACACACACACACACACACACACACACACACACACAGAGAGAGAGAGAGAGAGAGAGAGAGAGGGAGGGAGAGATGCTGGGGGAGTGTGATGTGTATACGCACATATGTGTATATGAACTCTTGAGCCCAAACAAACTAAATTAAGATCTACACATGGTGCTTATTTGTTATTGCATAGGGTTAACTTATTAAAGGTTTGCAAATTTTATCTTTAAATTAGTAAGGCAAGGACTTCCGGTGGATTTTGCGCGCGCGATGGCGGCTACTTTGTAGCCTCTCTCCTGGGTAAGTGTAAGAACCGCTATGAACAGCAGACACCAGCTGTTCAGCGGTTCAAAATCCCCCTCCCGGGCAAGGGGGGGGGTAGAGAGTGTCTGAATAGTGGTAGAGCCTCTTTTGCACCCCCCAAGTTTTTTTTGGGGGGGTGAAAGGAGTGCTCCCATGGAGTTCAGACTTGTCTCCGCTTCCCAGCTGTTTTTGTCCTCAGGGACAAAACGAGCCGCTGCAAACACCTCCGTGCTTAAAGAGAACTGGTGAGTTTTTTTATAAACGGACAGAGCTGAGTAGAGGATTTAGTTTTTCCTTTCTTTGATTTATTTGGATTTTAAGTTTTAAGACTTGCTTCTATTTTTATTCTCTCTTTTTATTTTTTTTTCTTTGTTGAAAGGGAAAGTAAAATGGCGATCGGCAAATCTCTCGGTGTTTTTTTTTCTGAAGTTAGAATGCTGACCGGCAGGCTTTTTGGTGTTTCTCTTTCTTTCCTTTCTCTTTCCCTTTTTATTTTCTTATGATTGGAATGGTTGTTTTTGGTATCTCTAAGTATTTTTTTTGGAACGGACTTTTTCTATTTAATTAATTTTTTTTTCTCCCTTCTTTTTATGGTAATGACCCTTTTTTGAAGGACTTTTTTCTGTTTAATTTCTTGCAATTTTTAAGAAGGAGTAAAGCTTTTTTTTAATTCTTTTTCTCTTCCTTTTTTTTCCCCCTTTTTTCTTTTTATTATAATGACCTTCTTTGGAGGGAGTTATGATTTTTGAAGGAATTTTTATAATTTTTTAAGAAGGGCTAAAGGTTTTTCTTTAAGATGGCTCCAAAGCGTCCAGGGATTTCTACAGCTTCTAAATCAACAGTTTTACCCTCTTCTGGGGGTCAGCTAATAACTATGAAGGATTTGCAAAACATGATGGGAGATGTTATAATTCAAATTAGGGCAGAAATGAAAAAGATTTTAGAGGAAAATAATAAGATCTTGAGACAAGATTTTGTTTTGGCTTTAGAAGGAGTTGCTTCTGTTCTTGAAAAGGTGAACTCCCATGTGGAAGAGGTAGCTGAAAAAGTGGACATAATGGAGGGGAAAATTGAAAGTATGGAAAAAGAAATGGAAAATGAGATTCTTATGCTTCAATATGGACAAATGGAATATGCCTTAAGAATCAGAGGCCTGGAAGAGTCTTTGCAAGGAGATTTGAAAGAGATGGTTGCAAAGGACTTTGCATTGATTTTGAATAAAGAAAAAGAGGGAATACTTAGTGAAATTGAAAAATTATTTAGGGTTAACTCTGTGGTGGCAGCACAGAAGAATCTGCCAAGAGATGTGGTAATTTACTTTGGTAAAAGATCTTTACGCAATGAAATTGTGCAAGCCTATTATAAGAAGAGATTTCAAATTGCTTCACAAGATGTCATAATTTTTAAGGAGATCCCATCTAAAATTTTAAGAAGAAGAAAGGAGTTTGCTTTTCTAGCAAATGAACTTAAAAAGAGAAAAATTCTATTCAGATGGGATGTTCCGACTGGAATGGTGGTGAACTACCTGGGGACATGTCATAGACTTAATACTGTTTCTCAAGCAAAAGATTTTTATACTTCGGTCCTGGGGGTATGTGCATCGCCATCTATTAGGTCTCAACAAGTCCAGATTGAGGAGCAGAAGACAACTTGTGTAGCACATAATTCCAAAGAAAAGCAGCAACAGAAGAAGGTTAAGGAAGTTTCATATTCAGTGGTCTCTGAATCTCTGGGAGATGTTGGACCTACAAAGTCTTTGGAGCAATCTTCAAGGGTGGAATTGCTGCCTGAAATGGAAATTGGGAAATCTCAGTTTGAGGGGTATCAACAAGAGAGGAACGGGCAGAGGATAACTTGTATAACTTACAATTGTAAAGATCAATACAAGGAGGAATTTAAGGAATCCTTACCTGTATTGGCTTCGGAAGTTAGACCTACAAAGTCTTTGGAGCAATCTTCAGAAATGGAAATTGGGAAATTTCAGCTTGAGGGGCACCGACAAGAGAGGAACGGGCAGAGGATAACTTGTACAACTTATAATTGTGAAGATCAACACAAGGAGGAATTCACTGAGGAAGTTTTACAGGTATCGGTCCTTGAGACTGGTGCAACATATAAATGTAAAGAAAAAGTAACATATAAATGTAAAGAGAAAGACCAACAGAAGAAGGAGGTTGAGGAAGTTTCACAGGTACTGATTCCTGAGCTTGGGGGTCAACCAGGACTTACAAACTCTTTGGAGCGATCTTCAAGGGCAGAATTCCACGCATTCTTTTCGATGCTTGCGGGCAAGAGAGACTGATATGGATTGTGCTTATAGTAGATGCAACTGGCTATCAGACAGAAGATTATGGATATTGAATGAAAATTTTAGATAAGAAGTTTGTGTTTATAGTGGATGTAACTGGTTATTGGACAGAAAATTATGGATATTGAATGAGAACTTTAGACAAGAAGTTTACTATTGAGATTGTCGGAGAAGTAAAACTTATATCGTTTTTGGAAAATGTCTTATGTAATGTCTAAACATGTGTTTTGGGATAATAATATATTTCAGCTTTAAGTTTTAAACCTTTAATGATAATATTGTTTAAACTTGTGTTTTGAAGGGATTACAAGTTGTTTATTTCAGTGAGGGGATTCTAATAAATTTGTGTTTCGAAGGGAGTATAACTTGTTTAAGTTTCAAGTAATGCTTAAATTTGGTTTTTAAATATTATTATTAATATTTCTAAGAGAAAATAATTTGTTTAATTAAATGTCTAGATTTGTTTATGAAAGAAAGTAATGTTTAAATCTGTGTTTTTGGAGGAAGTCTATATAGAATGATGATTGTATTTAGACTTGTTTAGGATTTAAAAGTGTTTCAAGTTTTTAAATATTATTATTAATATTTTTAAGAGAAAATAATTTGTTTAGATTTGTTTAGGATTTTTAAGTTTTTTTTTTTTTTTGGATAGGTGAGAAGATTATGAAGATTGAAGGAAATATGTATTTATTTTAAGTTTTCTAAGAGTATTTAGTTTTAATGTATAACAAAGGTTTATATGTTTATTTTTTTGTATTAGGAAAAGAAAGAGGGAGAAATTAGATTTTATATTATAGGCATAGATATTCAAAGAAAGTAATGTTTAAATTTGCGTTTTTGGAGGGAGTTTATATAGAATGATGATTGTATTTAAATTTGTTTAGGTTTTAAAAGTGTTTTAAGTTTTTTTCTTAATTAAGCCTGTAAGCTCTGGGAAGTTCAGGGGAGGGCTTGGGAGGTTGGGGAGGAGGGGGGTGAGGTAGGGTTGGGGGGGTACGGGAAGGGGATTTGTTTTTGTAAAAATTTAAAAATTTTCAATAAATTAGTAAGGCAAGCACACTTGCAAATATATAGTTTTCGGCTTCCTTGAAAAATAAAAAAAGAAGAATGTTTCCTTATTCTGAACACTAATCTGACACACACAACAGTAGAAAAATATGAATGCTTTCTTATCCTATTTACTAACTCAAACAAAGAGATAAAGAAATTACCCTGGTGTTCTGGAAAATTATGCAATTGCACCTGTTGTAGATTTTGGAATGAATTGTTCCATGAAGGTAATTTGTCAGCTGTTTGGAACTTGAGTACAAATCTGTAGTTCTATATGTAATTCTAATGAATGACCAGTTCTTCTCAGTACTATTGGAAGAAGAGACTTCCATCTTTGGGTGCATAATGACCTGCTTCAAATTCTATCTGACTCAAATTTAAGACACATCACTTAGAAGGGCAGGAGTAATCTATATAAGAAGGTGGAATTCTCCATTTCCAATCTGATAGTCATCTTGGAACTAACTTGAAATGAAAAGACATGCTCACCTAGGTGTTAGTCAAAGGACAGGTTGCTAAATTATAGTTTCTCTACTTGTACAAAATGAAATTAATTCACCTTGATCCAACCATCTAGAGCAGTGGTTCTCAACCTGTGGGTCGGGACCCCATTTGGGGTTGAACGACCATTTCACGGGGGTTGCCAAACAACGCAGTCCGCCATTTTCCCCCCCTTTTCCTTAGCTGTGCTACTCCCTTTTATTCTATTGGCTTTTGAAAGCCCATAGAATAGACTCTCTTGAATAGAGTCTAATTCTATTGGCTTTCAAAAGCCAATAGGAATTGTCCAGGCTGTCTCTGCCCTGCTGAGCCCGCCAAAAATCCCATTCTGCAAACGCTGCTGCACCAATTGAGTAGTCCTCGATTTACAACCGGTTGAGTAGTCCTCGACTTACAACTGGTTGAGGGTCGCGGCATAAAAAGGTTGAGAACCACTGATCTAGAGCCTGTTTCTGGAAACTCTTAATGAATGATACAGCACCTCAACCTTTGAGTCATCAACTCAGTTGCTGTATCAGTTGAGAAGTGATTCAGATCTCAGCTTCATTTTTCCTGGAGAAACTTGGGCAGGGCTGGCATTTATTTTCACTTTTAGATTGGCAGAGCTTATTTTGCACGTACATCATACAGCCTCTGCCCACCCTAGACATTCTAGTTAAATGGTGAGCTAAGGATCCTATTCAGCTCAATCATATCACCGGTAGCTACTATAGCTTATTGTACAGAACACTGTTATACAGAACACTGTTTGCACCCAGGATAGGAGGGATGTGGAAGTTTTCCTAAATAATGCAAAAGATTTCAAACCCTATATTTAATGTATTTATTTTGCTATCACATACACAGAAGCATAAGGGACTTTTGTTTTGAATAAGTATTTTGTTAAACAACAGCAATATTTTAGCAACCAGTGATAATAATAGTGGATGTGCCCCCTCTCTCTCCTCTCTGGCATTCAGCACATCTGGAATCATTTCTCAACCGATATAGCAACTGACACTGAATGGAGCTGGGGACTCAAAGCATGAGTGGCTAAGTTGTTCATTTAACATAGGGGAAGGTCCAGGCTCAAAGTGTAGATTTAGGATTAAGTAAACATTTTTCTCCATTTCAGTCTTTACTACTCAGGCGTTTGGGGTCTACAGACCTGGAAGAAAGCCAAACCCCGAGGCATATAAAAAGAAGAATTATTGGTTGGCCTGAAGGACAGGGACGTTGGAGGAACAGAATAATTTTTACCTGCTGGTAAGATCAAAAAACTGAACGAAGCAAAGGAAAGGCACTGGGATAAAATCCAGGAAGCAAAATTTACTGATATTTTCTTTTTTCTCCACAACCAGAATATGGAGCTACCTTCTACCCTGGAAGATTTGGACCCCAAATTTGTCACACGTTGCTCACTGATAGAGATTGAAGGAGTTTCTTTGCCCACCACAACTGCAGAACACTGGGACCAGATAAAAAGCTTCCAGGCACGACCGGATGATCTTCTCATCTGCTCTTACCCCAAAGCAGGTACCGTAAATGCCGGCGTATAAGGCGACTTCCGCGAGCGCTGAAATCGGCGCCAAAGACGGGGGTCGTCTTATACGCCAAGTCGTCTTATACGCCGGAAATACTGGTAGTTTCTGGCGTATAAGACGACGTTCTAGGAATGCAGCTCGGCTATAAAGACAGGGGTCGTCTTATACGCCGGGTCGCCTTGTACGCCGGCATTTACGGTAATCCCGCAAATGGCCATACATTTGGGATAGTTTGATAAACCATTCTATGACATGGTTTTCAGAAATGTGGCACAGTTCGGAGGAAATAGAAGTAATCCTCAGCTTATGACCATAATTCGGCCCAACATGTCTATTGCTAGGCAAGTTATTTGTTAAGTGAGTTTTGCCCACTTTATGAACTTTCTTGCCACAGTTATTAAGTGGATCACTTCAATTGTTAAGTTAGTAACCCGGAGGTTAAGTGATTCTGGCTTCTTCAACTTTGCTTGTCAGAAGGTTGCAAAAAGTGATTGTGTGACCCTGGGATACTGCAACTATCATAAATAGCATGTGAACATTGATTCAATGACCACAGGGATGCTGCAATGGTCATAAGTAACTTTTTTCAGTGCCATTGTAACTTTGAACAGTCACTAAACAAACTGTTATAAATGTTCTGTTTATAAGGCCTTCATGTGATCAGAGATAAATGTTAAATGAACCAGTTAGCCCCTCATCCTTTGAATCCCCAGCTCCATTCAGTGTCAGTTGCTGTATCATTCCACTGAAGATGTCACCTAGCCTGCTAACGAAATGTTCAAAAACCATTCCACAAGCTCAGAGAACAAATCTTCACCCTCATCCTATATCCAAGCTACAGATATTAACCATTATTGCAGATCATATCAACCCAGAGAGATAATAGATGTAGGAAAAAGCAGAATACAATGGACCAGAGTACATGCAGTATATTTAGAAATAGAAATAATAGAAATAGAAATAATAGAAATAGAAACAGAAACGGAACGGAATAAAATAACAGAGTTGGAAGGGACTTTGGAGGTCTTCTATCGAGTTGCTCAGGCAAAAAACACTATACCATTTCAGATAAATGATTGTCAAATTTCCATCCGCCTGGTCTACTGAATCAATTATCATCAAAGTGATTTTCCCCTTTTCCTTCCTCAAGCCTTTTCTTTTGCTCTCGCATCAGTTGTTTTGTAAGCCCAACAACAAAAACAGTCCAATTATGTTTTTCGTGTGTCCTTTTACTAATGAGTTCCTTAAATATTATTTAAACAAAACGCTTAAGTAGCATAGCATGTAGACCTTTATTTCCAGGGTCTTTTGGGGGAGGAAACCTCTCTCCACTTTGATGTCAGGGTCCCCTATTTATCTCCCTGAAGATTACCGTAAATGCCGGCGTACAAGGCGACCCGGCGTATAAGACGACCCCTGTCTTTATAGCCGGGCCGCATTCCTAGAACGTCGTCTTATACGCCGGAAACTACCAGTATTTCTGGCGTATAAGATGACTCGGCGTATAAGACGACCCCCATCTTTGGCGCCAATTTCAGCGCTCGCGGAAGTCGCCTTATACGCCGGCATTTACAGTATGTTATTTTCAAATGTAGAGTAGAATTGACAAAAAACTCTTTATCAGGAAAATAAGATATCCAGAAAAAAAGGGTGCACAGGTTGCTGATTTGGGGGCCATGACTAAAAAAGTTAACAAGTTGTGAGACTTTTCAGACTTGCACAATTAGGGCTAACTTATGAATAGATATGCTAGGCTGTAGTAATTCCCTTCATTGCAAGATATGCATTTCGATGGATAGATGGCATATTAGCCCTCTAAGGTGTGCAATACCTCATCACAGACAAAAGGAGTCCTTGTGCAAATATTTGTCTGCAACTTATCTGCAATTTGCAGTCAACATGCTGACCCTCACATTGTGTGGTATTGGAAGTGTTTATTTATAAAGTATAAATAAGATTATCCGGCCCTCTCAATTCCTGGCAAATAGATGGGGAAGAAATGGAGGTAGTGACAGATTTTATTTTTCTGGGCTCCAAGATCACCTCAGATGGGGACTGCAGCCAAGAAATTAAAAGACGCTTGCTCCTGGGGAGGAAAGCTATGGCAAATCTAGACAGCATTCTAAAAAGCAGAGACATCACCCTGCCAACAAAAGTGAGTATAGTCCAGGCCATGGTTTTCCCAGTTGCAATGTATGGCTGTGAAAATTGGACCATAAGAAAGGCTGAGCGCCAAAGAATTGAGGCCTTTGAACTATGGTGCTGGAGAAGACTCCTGTGAGTCCCTTGGACTGCAAGGCGTTCAAACCGGTCAGTCCTAGAAGAGATCAACCCTGACTGCTCTTTAGAAGGCCAGATCCTCAAGTTGAAACTCAAATACTTTGACCACCTAATGAGAAGGAAGGACTCACTGGAGAAGGGCGTAATTGTTAAGTCCTTCGCGAAATGGCAATGACACGAGAAGCAGTTGTAGTTCTCAGGAACCTCTTTATTTCTGTTCAGCATACTGGTTACAAGACGCCGACGACGCCCAAATCTCCCTGCCCTTTTTATAGGCGATTCCCGGGCCAAACTGCAACATTTGGCGCACTTGCACTCGCGCATGTGCGCGAGTGCTGGCGACAGCCAGTCTGGTCCCGGGCAGCTTGCACCTGCCCGGGACCTTGCAATGCCCCGAGCCTGCTTTCACAGGCTTAGGACATAACAGTAATGCTAGGAAAGATTGAGGGCAATAGAAGAATGGGACGACAGAGAATGAGATGGATGGATGGAGTCACTGAAGCAGTAGGTGTGAACTTAAATGGACTCCAGAAGATGGTAGAGGATAGGAAGACCTGGAGGAACGTTGTCCATGGGGTCGCGATGGGTCAGACACGACTTCGTAATTAACAACAACACGATAAGTCTTGTTCTATAGGTAGTCCTTGATCTATGACCACAATGGTGCCCAAAATTTTTGTTGCTAAGTGAGGCAGTTGTTAAGTGAATTTTGCCCCATTTTATGACTTTTCTTGCCACAGTTGTTAAGTGAATCACTGCAGTTGTTAAGTTAGGAATAGGGTTATGTAACTGAAACTGCCTTCCCCATGGATTTTGTTTGTCAGAAGATCGCAAAAGTGGGTCACATGACCCCAGGACAATGCAACCATCGTAAGTACATGCCAGTTGCCAAGCATCTGAACTGTGGTCATTGGGGATACTGCAATGGTCCTAAGTGTGAAAAACTATCACAAGTCACTTTTTTCACTGCTGTTGCAACTTCGAACTGTTACTAAATGAATAGAATAGAATAGAATAGAATAGAATAGAATAGAATAGAATAGAATAGAATAGAATAGAGCTGGAAGGGACCTTGGAGGTCTTCTAGTCCAGCCCCCTACTCGAGCAGAAGAACCTATACCATCTCAGACAAGTGACTGTCTAGCCTCTTCTTAAAAATCTCCAGTGATGGAGCGCCCATGATTTCTGGAGGCAAGCTGTTCCACTGGTTAATTGTCCTCACTGTCAGGAAGTTTTTCCTTAATTCCAGGTTGCTTTTCTCAACCATTGTTTCTTGATCTGCCCTCTGGTGCTTTGGAGAATAATTTGATCCCCTCTTTTTGTGACAGTCCCTCAAATACTGGAATATTGCTATCATGTCACTCCTATTTTTTATTTTCTTTAGATTAGCCAAACCCAACTTTTGCAGCCGTTCTTCATATGTTCAAGTCTCCGGGCCTTTGATCATCTTAGTTGCTCTTCTGTGAACTTTTTCCAAAGTCTCAAAATCTTTTTTGTAGAATGGTGACAAAACCGGTTGCAGTATTCCAGGTGTGGTTTCACTAGGGCTTTATAAAACGGTACTAATACTTCATGTGATTTTGATTCTATACCTCTGTTTATACAACCCAGGATTATATCAGCCTTTTTGGCTGTTGCAACAACTGCTGGCTCATATGCAAGTGATCATCCACTAGGACTCCAAGGTCCCTCTCACAGTTACTGTTTTTGAGTCAGGTCTTGCATAATCTGTACTTATACCTTTGGTTTTTCAAGTCTAAATGTAAAACTTTTCTCCACATTAAAATTCATTTGTTTGGATAGAGTCCATTGTTCAAGTTTGTCAAGATCTTTTTGGATCCTGAGCTTGTCTTCTTTCCTGACTTCATCTTTGCATGTTCTGGCTGTCTGCTGATAATTAGCCTTAGTTATGTCTTCCTCTTTCCATTTTTTGTACTTGTCCTTTTTATCTTTCAGTTTATCTGAGAGATCTTTGTGCCATGTCTGAGGCTGGTGGGAGGCCAAGAAGCGTCACCCAATACTCTATCTCTTTTACGAAGACATGAAAGAGGTGAGAAGCTTTCCTTTCTGTAACAAAGAAATTTGCTGCCAAAAAAAGAGAGCATCATTCAATGATACAGATCAGTCTTTCTCAATGGGATTCCGTGGAATTTTAAGGTTCTGCAAGAGTTGGTGATTAAAAAAATAATAAATTTTGTTTCTTATGCAATAGCAGCATTACCAGGAATGGGAATGCTTACGCACCACAACTTAGCTGCCTGACTGTCACGTTGTTATTGTTGTAACTGGATGATAAATGTGAATCGTGTAACGAAAATTTCACTTTGTTTTTATTATTTTTTTATGCAATGTTTCCTTGAGGCTTGAAAATAATTTCAAGAATTCTTCCTAGCTAAATGTTTGAGAAAGGCCGACAAAGGTTTTGGATTAAGAGGTTCAAACCAACACGGCAAATCTCCTGCCAGTAATCTGATCACATTTTTCCTTCCTGTTAACCATTTCAGTTTTTTCCCTAGGATCCAATTCGGGAAATGCGGAAAATAGCCCAGTTCCTGGAACTAGAGATTCAAGAACCAGTTCTGAATCAGATTTTGGAGTACACCAAGTTTGAGACCATGAAAGGAATCACAATGGCTAATTATGCTACTGTGTCACCCTGTCTCATGGACCATACCGTGTCACCCTTCCTCAGAAAAGGTGAGAATGGAAACTAGATTGCAACTGACCAGGGGGCAGATGGAGAGAGTGAACAGAGCAATCAAACATGAACCTTTCAAAATGCGGCAGGGAAGGTCTTGGCTGGCAACACTGGCAGGGACCTGATGTGATAGCATACAGTATGGGAAAGACCTTTGGAGGTGGGGCAAAGAGATGCTGCCTAGGGACTGGTCAAATAAGAGACAGTATAATCTGCAGCTGGACAGTGGGTAGGGCAAGAGCCCCAGAGGGACTCACCCTAATTTCTCAAGCTGTAAAAGAGATGGGAAAAAAAAACTCCGACACTTTCAAAACGCCATCTTAATTCCTCTCTCCGTAGCAAAAAAAAAAGAACAAAGGAGAAATAACCAAAACTAACCAAAACTAACTAAAAGAAAAAGAAATAAAACCCTAAATTATAAAAAAAGAATCCTTTAATCCGCTCTGTCCGTTTTAAAAGTTACTCACCAAGACGCTATACTCACGGAGATAGAGGCGGCGGTTTCTTTTGCTTCAAAGGAAGCAAAAACAGCTGGGAGGCGGAGATCAGCAGGAGCTCCGAGGGAACACTCCTTTCACCCCCTCTAGGAATAAATCCAGAGGGGGTTCAGGGGTTCTACCTCTACTCCTGCGTTCTCTATCCCTTCCCTTTGCCCGGGAAGGGATTTGCGAACCGCGGGCCAGCTGATACGCGCTGGGCTCCGCGATTCCGACACCTTCCCAGCTGGATGGCTAAGAATTAGCCGCCATCGCCGTCGCCCCGGCAACTGGATTTTAATGATTTTGCTCTTGATATTTTTGCTCTTGGTACTGGATTTTTCTTTTGACTTTTTTCTTTTTTTCTTCTTTGGATTTTTTTAAGGACTATGTTGGTGCTGTTTTTTTGAAAAAAAAAATCTTTTCCTCCTCCCCCCTCCTTGGGGAGAAGGGAAGTGAGAACAGTGTCATATAAAATGGCTTCAAAGAGACAGCTGTCTTCGACAACACCTAAAGTGGTTTCTTCTCCTACAGCTCTTACTGCACAACCACAACAACAACTTAAACATGTACCACCGGCTCAGCCACCACCTTCTCCTCCTCTGCCAGGCCTGTCAGCACAAGAGGTTAAAGGGATAATGGGGGATGCTATGTCTCAAATGAGAGATGAAATGAAGCAATTTGTTATGCAGATTAAATCTGATATTAAATCTGACATTAAAGAAGAGATAAGTGGGATAAAGGGCTTATTAGAAGCTAATAATACCATCTTGTGACAAGATATAGTTGCAGCAGTATCAGGCTTGGCTACGGTGGTAGTGAAGCTGGATGCAAGATTGGAGGAAGTGGAAGATAAAGTTTCCTCTTTTGATGACAAAATTCAAGATGTGGAAAGGAAGGTGGAGACTTCACAAGAAGATATGCTTATGTTTCAGTACAGACAGATGGAGTATGCCTTGAGGATTAGAGGCCTCAAGGAAGATATGAATCAAGATTTGATGGAGATGGTGCTTACTGACTTAGCTGTTGCTCTGAATATGGATAAAGGAGAGTTACGCAGAGAAGTGGAAAAAATTTATAGAGTCAACTCTTGGATTGCGAAGCAGAAGAACTTGTCCAGAGATATGGTGATTTATTTTACAAAGAAGTCTCTGCGTAATGAAATTGTACAAACTTTTTATAATAAGAGATTCCAGATTGCTACTCAAGATATTATTATTTTAAAGGAAATCCCATCAAAGATTTTAAGAAACAGGAAAGATTTTTCTTTTCTGGCTAATGAGCTTAAAACCAGATTGATACCATTCAGATGGGAAATCCCGATGGGTATTGTTCTGAGCCATGCGGGGACACGTTACAGATTGAATACGGTTGACAAAGCCAGAGAGTTTTACAATACGGTCCTGGGTGCAGGCTCAGCTCCACCTGTTCAGAAATCTTTGAGTGGCAAAGAGTCGGAGCAGCAATCTGAGGCGTTAGGTTTGGTCTCTGCTGGGATGCTGCAAGCTGAATGGCAACGTCAAACGGAGGTTAAAGAGCAGAGAATGACCCGTGCAGCTTATAGACGCAAAGAGAAGGAGCAACATAAGAAAGAGGCTAAAGAAGCTTCTTCTGAAAGTGCATCATTGCCGATGGGAGGAGCAAGACCCAAGAGTTATGCAACACATGCAGCAATGGCAGATCTCCAAGGTGTCTTCTCCGGGCTCCTGGCTAAGGGAGATGGCAAAGTTTCTGACCTGGAATGTTAACGGATTGAATTCTTCTCAGAAAAGGAAAAAAATCTTCTATTATTTGAAGCAACATAACAATGATGTTATTTGTTTACAGTAAACTCATATTTTACTTAAGGATCAGAAATATTTAGTTAATGCTCGTTTGGGATCTCATTTTGTATCTTCTGCTCTGGGGAAAAAGAGGGGAGTTGTTATCTACGTGAAGCAAAATTTACCAGCTTGTCTGGTAGAATCGGATCCCCAAGGAAGATATGTGATGATTGAACTTGGCTTATATGGTAAGAAAGTACTTATAGTGGGACTTTATGCACCAAATCAGCAACAGGAACAATTTTATAGGTTGTTACATCAAAAAATAACTTTGCTGGACTATAGATCCGTGGTATTAATGGGTGATTGGAATGGTGTCTTAGATACACAAAGGGACAAGAAAGGTTCTTCTCCCTTTTTTAAACATGCAAAATTACCTAAAGCCTTTTTTGATATGAAAGAGGACTGGGAACTAAGGGACTATTGGCGGGAATGTAATCAAGAGGAGAGAGATTTCACCTTTTTCTCAGATAGACACCAATCCTTCTCAAGAATTGACTTTTTTTTTTACTACAACGGACTTATATAATAGAGTAAAGAATGTAAAGATTTTTCCTAGGTTGCTGACGGATCATAGCCCAGTTTGGATGGAGCTGACTCAAGAAAAAGAGGAGAGAAGATCCTGGAGAGTGAATGAAAATTTATTTAGACAAGAAAAGAATGTTCAAAAGTTAAAGGAGTGTTTAAAGGATTATTTTGCTTTAAATATGTATAAAGGGACTTCAATGTCAATGGTATGGGATGCAGGTAAAGCATTTATGCGTGGTATTTTGATAAAAATGAACAATTATCATAAGCGAAAGCAGACTCAGAAACGTAAAGAATTGGAAGATGAAATTAAATTAAAAGAAAAGTCTTTGATTTTAAATCCTTCTGATGAAAATATTAAAGAATCTGTAAAGTTATTAAGGACACAATTTAATATGTTGTTAGCAGATCAAGCTGCAACCAACTTATTGTTTATGAAACAAAATACATTTTGTAATGCTAACAAGCCAGGGAGATGGTTGGCTTATCAGCTAAGAAAGAAACAGAGACAGAGAATAATAGATAAAATAAATTATCAGGGTAAATTAGTTTCTCAGAAGGAATTGATTAAGAAATCTTTTTTGGAGTATTAACAAAAATTATATAAATCTACCAATGTCCAAATTTTAGATATAAATAAATACTTAAACGAGGCTAGTTTTCCCAAATTGACAGAGGATCAGAAGCAGGAAATTAATGGCTTAATTACTAAGGAGGAAATTGCGTTAGCAATTCAGCAATTGAAACCAGGGAAAGCACCAGGTACGGATGGGTTAACAGCTGTTTATTATAAAGCTTTAATGGAGGAGATGATTCAGCCATTAGGTGATCTTTTTAATGATATTTTACAGGGTCTAGAGATTCCTCCTTCATGGCGTAGTGCTTTTATATCACTGATTCCAAAAGAGGATCAAGATCTTACTTTACCAAAGAATTATAGGCCTATATCTCTTCTAAATGTGGATTATAAGATATTTGTAAAAATTTTAGTAAATAGGCTTTTGACGGTTGTGCATCAACTTGTGCATAAAGATCAATCTGGGTTTATAACTGGAAGGTATATGAAAAATAATGTTAGACAAATTATCAACTTATTAGAATATTTAGATAAGAACAACCAAGTCCCTGCAGGGTTGATATTTTTAGATGCTGAAAAGGCTTTTGATCAATTGAATTGGCATTTTATGTTAAGAGTAATGGAGGAGATGAATTTTGGTGAAAAGATAGTACAAGCTCTTACGGTAATATATCAAAAACAAACGGCACAACTTATTGTTAATGGAGGGTTGTCAGAGGTTTTCACAATAGAGAAAGGTACCAGGCAGGGATGTCCATTATCACCGTTGTTGTTTGTTTTAACATTGGAAATATTGTTAATCAAAATTCGAGAGTCGCAGGAAATTAAAGGAATAGAAGTTAATAAAAAAGAATATAAGTTAAGAGCTTTTGCGGATGACTTGGTGGTTATTTTGTCGCAACTTACTCATTCTGTAGTAAAGTTATTACAATTGATTCATTATTATGGTTTGGTCTCGGGCTTTAAGATTAATGTCAACAAGACTAAAATTTTATCTAGAAATATGACTAGCCAGGAGAAGCAGACCTTGATTAATTTGACGGGTTTTGAAATTGTTAATAAGGTAAAATATTTGGGGGTGATGTTATCTGATTCTAATGCAAAACTATTTAAAAATAACTATGAAAGGTTGTGGGTTAGGGTACAGAAAGACTTGAAGAATTGGGCGAAGTTGCAATTATCCCTTATGGGAAGAATTGCAGTGATAAAAATGAATAGTCTACCCAAGTTTCTCTTTTTGTTTCAAATGCTACCGATTTTGAAGAATGAGATTAATCTAAGCGAATGGCAGAAAGGCCTTAATAAATTTATTTGGGCAGGGAAAAAGCCAAGGGTCAAGTTTAAAATTATGCAAGACTTCCGTGAGAGGGGTGGACTCAAGGCACCGAATTTGAAATTATACTATGATGCGGTGGTTTTAACACTAATTAGTGACTGGGTAAATTTGACAAATCCTGAGATACTCCATCTAGAGGGATGGGATTTACTTTTTGGGTGGCATGCCTATTTAATATTTAATAAAAAAATGGATTGGGTTTTTAAAGCTCATATTTTAAGAATTTCTTTACTTAGGACTTGGAGAAAATATTATAAAAGTGATTTTAAAGTACCATTATGGGCTATACCCTGGCATGCGATAGAAGGAATAAAAAGGGGTGCTAAAATGGATATGGTGTCTTATAGACAGTTACTTAGATGGGATGGACAAAACTGGCAGTTAAAATCACGGGAAGAGTTAGCGCAAGAAAATATTATTTATTCTTGGTTCCAATATAGGCAATTAGTAGATAGATGGAAGGTGGATTGTAAGGTGGGTATTCTTAGAGAAGATGAAAATTTTATTAAGCAAGTGAAGGATCAAAGACAAACCCACATTAAGAGGATTTATGGCATTTTAGTTGAATTGGATTCAGAAACGGAACTAATTAAAGATTGTATGATCAGATGGGCGCAGAACTTTGGTGAGCCAGTTTCATTGGACACCTAGGAAACCATCTGGGTCAGAAATGTCAAATTTACACAAGCACAGAACTTAAGGGAGAATTTTTATAAAATGTTTTATAGATGGCACCTTGATCCACAAAAAATGTCTCTTATGTATCCTGACTTACAACCTAACTGTTGGAGATGTGGTTGCATGGACGCTACTTATTATCACATTTGGTGGTCGTGCAGAGAGATAAAAGCATTTTGGATTAAGATATGGTGGAATATCCAGAGAATTTTTAGGAGGAGGGTAAAATTTACTCCGCAATTATTTTTGTTGGGTATAGTTACTGATTGTGATACAAAGGAGGTTATATTGATGTTAAATTTGATTACAGCTGCGAGGCTGTTAGTAGGACAATTTTGGAAGAAGGAATCTTTGCCTACATTGCAGGAATGGTTTCTTAAAGTGTCTCATTTGGCGGAGATGGCAAAGATTTCGGCTTTTTTAAAGGAACAAACGCAAGAGAAATTTCTTGCTGTTTGGGATAAGTGGATAAAATTTATACAATTTAAACTGGATATAAAAAATATTATATAGCCTTTTCATAATCTTCATTTTTATATATATATATATATATGCTTTAATGTTATATATATATTTTTTATAAATATAATTTTTTAATTGTTTTTTAATTAAGCCTATATTCTGCTCTGGGAAGCTCTGGGGGGGGAAGGGGGGGTGTTTGGGTGGGGGGTGGGGAAAGGGGGTTTTGTTGTGTAATGTTTAGGTTTTTTTGTATATGTTGTTTTTTGTCTTTGTATGGTTTTGTTCTTTTTGTAAAACTTATAAAACTTTTTAATAAAAAAAAAGAGATGGCAGGAAATTGTACTTTCAGACTTGCAAGATTCTGTCAATGTAGCTTTAAATTAAGTAGAATGAACTTATCTGGTCTTGTTTCATATCTGTCTACTCTACCTGGTAAGGTTGACACCTGGGGAGGCTTTAATCCCAAACCCATGATGGGTGTCAAATTTTGGAAAGGTGACCCTTGCAATGTTGAGATGCAACTGAGAGGTGTGGGAAACAAATAGGAAAGGTGAGCTACTCAAAAAACAAGTTAACTAAATCCTGCTGGGCTAGAATGGTAGAAAAATAGCAGGGGAAACCTGGCAACTGAGTTTGTTTCTCCCCTCCCTTCCCTCTGCAGGCATTGTTGGTGACTGGAAGGAGCACTTCACAGTGTCTCAAAGTGAGCAGCTGGAAGGCATCTGTAGTCAGTTGCTGGCAGGCAGTGGTCTGACTTTCCGTACAGAGCTGTAAAAGCAGCTCTATCTCCTCCATGCAGCCTTCTCAATCAAGCTTGCTTAAATTATTAATCTTCCATGCATTTAATAAAATAAGTCATGGGTACCACAAATGATAATCCAAGCTTTACTGTGCATCTCTTTAAAAAAAACTAATTCTTGTTCAAAAGCATTTGTCACTGGCAATTCAATTTCCTTTTGCTGAAATTCTCTTAATGGGTTGCTTGGTCTCTGTCTGTCTCTCTCTCTCTCATTTCCTGTACTGTATGCTAAGAAAAGGATGGTTGTCCAGTTTTTAATTTAAAAACTTCTAATTTTTACTTAAAGTTTCTTTTCAATTGCTTAAAACAGCTGCTAGTAGGAAAAGCATTTCAAAAGGAAAGTGGGAGGAGAAGAAAAGAAGGTGAAATAACACTTTAAAAATGTGGTCACTTTTCTGAGATATTTTCCTGATATTTCAATCACACAGGGAAGGGCCAAATATGGCTCTCTTTCATATATTTTATGTTTATTTTATTTACCATTTTTATTTTATTTACTATATGTTTGACTGTTTTTAGATTGTTATGGTGTTTTAGAAGTTGTTATATTATGTGCTACCCAGAATCATGGTTTTGTGAAATGGAAGGCTTGATAAATATGCTAAATAAATAAATAAACAAATAGGTAATTACACTTATATGCGCACACTATTCTTTTACAAACACATGGCATACTAGTACATACATTCCTTCAGACAGAGATGATAGATGAGGAGATCCAGTAGCAAAAACCTACTACTGTATTGCTTATTCTATAATAGCAGTTTTGCCCAGCTAAATATGATTGCTGCTATGATGTTTGGCTCAGCTTCCTCCATGGAAGCTGAAACTGGGAAAGATTTCTCTCCCTCCCCTGGTCACACATCTCTTATCCAGCATGCAGCAAGGGAACAAGTCAAATACATTTGTGTCATTTTGCAAGCACAAGGGAATATATGTGGACTTAAAAAGATAAAGATGTGCATGAACAGAGTGCTCCCCCTGATGATTTGTAACTGGCTGACAAATAATACTCAAGTGTTGTTAATGGTACTACACCTACATGGAGGGAAGTAAGCAGTGGGTACCACAAGGTTCCGTCTTAGGCCCAGTATCTTCATAAATTACTTAGATGAGGGAATAGAAAGGGACACTAAGCTGGCAGGAATAGCCAATACCCCAGAGGATAAGCTCAGGATCCAAGAAGATCTTGACAGACTTGAACAATAGGTCCTATCCAGTGGTGGGAATCAAATATGTGAACAACCGGTTCTCTGTGTGGATGCCGCTTCCAGAAGTCCATTCTGGGCCTAGGCAACAAAAAATTACCTACCAGTTCTGCCAAACTGGTGAGAACTGGTTGAATCCCACCACTGGTCCTATCCAACAACATGAAATTTAATGTGGAGAAAAACAAGGCTTATACACTTAGGTAGGAAAAAACAAAAGTACAAGTAAAGATTAGGCAATACCTCATTCAAAAACAGTAACTGTGAGAGGGACCTTGGAGTCCTAGGAGTTGCTTAGGTTGAGAAACACTGCTCTAGAGAAATGAGAATAAAGTGGTACCTGGAAAAATATTAATGGTCTGACAAAGAATATGGGTAAAAAGCAGATGGCCCACCAAAGATTGTGTGTGTAAGGGAGGTTTGTTTTGCTTACAAGACAACTTTTAAATTTAGGATGGCCAGACATCCTGTTCCCAGCTCTGCACATGATATATTACTAACTGCTTGTCACATGGTGTATCTAAATTGCTTAACACTTGATATATTGCTGATTGCTAAAAACATTCCAATGTAAACGAGGAGCTATCGATTATAGATCTGTCCAGTAGTTTTCCCATGTTAGAATAAGGACCTATAGAATGTAGGCATGTGACCTGCTCAGGAAATAACTCTGCTTGAAGGGTTATAAAAATGGTCATCAATGTACAATCTGAGTTCAGATTCCTTCAGCCAGGATGGCTCTCTGAACCTGCGCAATAAACTTCCCTTTCCTGAAAGAGCTGATTCAAGTTTTTTTTTAATTCTATAACATTTTCTGGTGCATTGGCCGGGAAAAGCTTGAGTGAGGCGATATTTCGCTGAGGACGGCTGGACCCTTCGGACCTGCTGGTAAGCCATCTCTGAACAATTCTCCAGGCGCCATGGGGGTGTGTTTCCTCCAGGAGACAGCTGTGGCTTCTCAGCAGAGCCGACAGTACTGAAGGCCAGTCCAAGAACCCTTTGGGAAAGGAAAGGAAGTCTGAACCAACTCCTGGCCAGGATGGGTGTAGCTACAAGGCAGGCGAGTATGTGTTTAAAGTAATGGTACCTATCTCACTTGAAGATAGAAGAGGGGGCCTGATCACTCTCCTGGACTCGGGACGGCGATCCTAATGAAGTCCGTGTTAGGTTGTGTGGGTGGTTAAGCCAGAGCATTCCCTACTAGTTACCGCCGGCGCTGTAGGTCATTGGCAGTGTGTTAGGATGGGGGGCCGTAGTATGGATGTGGGGTGGCCCCCAGAGGGGACTTTTAAGAAAACTATCCTAACCAATTTTAGTATATAGATCAGTTGGGGGGATGCAGTAGCAGGACGAGCTGATGAGTTATTGCAATGTCAAGCTGAAATGGTTCATTTGTGTGTGGCTAGACCCAAAGGAAAAAAAGCTTCAAGTACAAACTAAAAGAGTGAAAGATGTGAAGATTTCAGAAACTAAGGTGTCAGATGCTAAGAAGGAGATAAGGATGGAGGTAGAGGAGTTGATTCTCAGACCTCCTCCCTACGTTCCACCTTTCTCCCCCTTCCCCCCCCAGTGCCGGCTGTGGCAGAGCCAGCAGCCGCTCTGACGGAGGAAGGGCTGATTGCCCCTGCTGTGTCCGAAGAAAGGCAGCCAGCTGTGAGACGAAAACAGAAAGGGGGAGGCTGTCAGCCCCCAAGGAGGAAGGGGATTTGGAAGGTCTCTCTGTAAATGTGAGGGGAGAAGTAAGTAAAGAGGAGCAATTGTTGAATATTTTGTTGACTCCCGAGGAAAGGGAGAAGTGGAAGGCTGCTGTTAGGCAGTGTTTGAAGGATAGGTTGCCGGCTGTGCGGGATATACAGCCAGAGATGGAAGCCAGGGCACCAGAAAAGGACCCTGAATGGAATACACAAAATCCAGCACACATGACTTTGTTAAAGGAATATCAGAATTTAGTAGTAGAGGCTCTTTGCAAGGCTGGAAAGCCTTCAGTGAATGTGTTAAAGCCGTCTTTTGTGATGCAGGAGGCAGATGAAAGTCCGGAAAGTTTTTTTGCAAAGGCTGATTGAGGCTTATGGGCTTTATACACAGGTTGATCCAAGGAGTGCAGACAATGTGCGAATGTTGAATGAGAGGTTCATAGCACAGAGTTATGAAGATATAAGAAAGAAGTTGCAGAGGTTAGTTAGAAGGAGCATTAGGAAAGAACACTACAGAATTGTTGGAGGTGGCCAGGAAGGTGTTTGTTAATAGGGATAAGGTGGAAAAACAGGAAAGAGATGCTAGAATGCATAAGAAAATTGAGTTGTTGGCGGTGGCGTTGCAAGGAGGGATCATGCTGGGACCCAACCAGTGTGCTAATTGCAAGGAGGGAGGTCATTAGCAAAAAGAATGTCCAAGAAGGCAGATGCGAGGTAGAGGTTGGAGAGGAAGAGAAGGCAGAGGATGTGGAGGTGTTGGCAGTGGGCCCCCCATGCACTCCCCCTTCATGGGTAGAGGGCAGAGAGGGGCTCCAAGGAATGTGAGAGATGGTCCAGGGAGTGTAAGAGATGGTCTGAGGAATGGGACATTGGAATAGAGACAGGGAGATTGAGGGAATTGGATTGGCAGGGACTAACTGGTCAGATTGACGAGGACCTGGCTTGAAGGAAGCCCCCCCTGAGCCATTGGTTACTTTAAATATAGGGGGCAAACAGACAACGTTTTTGGTGGATACTGGAGCAGGAAGATCAGTTGTGGATTTGAAAGCAGAGTCTTTGTGTGTGAAGTAAATATGACTGTTACTAACCTCAAGAGAAAAGAAGATACAAAATAAATAAATAAATAAATAACCTCACTCTGTTTGTCTGGCCAACAAACAAAGTGAAGAAAGATGTGTTTGTTTTTTTATTTATTTTTTCTCCCTCTTAAGAACAGCCCAAAGTTACCTGCTCAGGCAGGAAATCCTATACCATTTTCTTGCCTATTCTGCTCTCTCCCTTTTGCAAATGTTAGTGTGTTAATGCCTTTTCAAACTCTATCTGCAGACACAACCCCCTTTCCCCCCCTGCTTTTTTTTCTGGCTGTGTTGCTTTGAGAGGGAGAGAGATAGAGAGAGATAGAGAGAGAGGAGAAAGGGGAGGGGTTGATCTTTTTAACTTTTTCTGGGTTGATCTTTTTAACTTTTTCTGGGTTGATCTTTTTAACTTTTTCTGGGTTGATCTTTTTAACTTTTTCTGGGTTGATCTTTTTAACTTTGTCCCTGCTTAGAATTCAGGTTTGAGAAAGGTTGGGTGGCTGTGAAAATTTAATGCCCACTTTTGCAGTTTTTTTTTCTATTCAAAAGAGGAGTCAGTAATTGTTGGACAATTTTTTTTGGGAAATTTTTGAGTTTAAATTGTTTAATATCAACCAAAAGAGTTTGCTTAGATTTGTAAATGTTCTCCCTATTTAATGGAAATTTAATGGAAATCTGTTTCCATCTGAATAGAATTTGATTAAATTGGGATTTGACTAACTTTATATTAAAAGCAATACTAGAGTTTAGAAAAAAAAAACTTTCAGTAACTCAGAATATCTTATTAAACTTGTTTATTTTTTGTGTGAAGTTAGAACGAAGTTGAGAAAAATTTTGGGATTATAAATAGCTATGCTGTTTTGAGTAAAGATTTGTATGCAAAACTGTTGGAAAAAGAGCTTGTGTTAATAAATGCAAACAAGGTTTGGTGAGCTCTCCTTTGTTGGTTCTTTGCTAGGTAATTTATTTATAAACAAGGACAAAGGTTGGAGGAGGTTTTGGCCCAGAAGTGTGTGCGTGGGGAGGGGGGAAAGGCAGCCAGTGGCATTTTTATCTAAAATTGACATTTGGGGACATCTTGGTGGTTAGCATTTCTTATCAAGTGTGGACAATTTTAATCAGGAAGCCTAAAGGAGGTATACACTTGTTCGTAGCAAAGTGGTTTTCAGTTGTGGATTTGAAAGATGCTTTTTTCACGATTCCTATTCACAAGGCTAGCCAGCCGTTGTTTGCTTTTGAATGGGAGGGAGAACAAAAGAATGCCTTTAGGGAAGTGAAACGAGCTCTCACATCAGCTCCAGCTTTAGCCTTGCCTAACTTAGAGAAGCCTTTCAATTTGTATGTTGATACCAGGAAGAATGTTGCCTTGGGGGTGTTAACTCAACAATTAGGACAGTGGCAACGCCCGGTGGCTTACTTATCTAAGCAATTAGATGGGGTTGCCCAAGGCTGGCCACATTGTCTGAAGGTTCTTGCTGCTATAGCAGTCCTTTTACAGGACTGTAATAAATTGACCTTCTCATGTTCCATAAGTGTCCACCCCCCTCATGCAGTTCATTCTATCTTGGATAATAAAGGGCATTTGTGGATCAGCAGTCAAAGGCTTTTTAAGTATCAGGCGATGATGATTGAAAATCCTCAAGTGAAATTAGTGGT